TAAAAAAAATTCATCGATTTTTCAACATGAAATTCTCGCTAGATTAAAAAATAAAAATAACATTCTGTTCTCTTCGTTGAATTTTGTTCCTTTCGAATGGAAGCACTGTATTTTTAATTTCATTACTGTTTCATAAATAATGAATACAAAACAAAATACAATAAAATTCATGAAAGACATGAAATAAAAAAAAATCCTCAACTCTTCAACATGAAATTCTCTCCAGATCCGAGACTACGGCTCCCTGAAGGAGCCCACGACCGAGGAGATCCGTGAAATGCTGAACAAGCTGGTGGTAGTGAAGTTGAACGGAGGTCTCGGCACGAGTATGGGTTGCCACGGACCCAAGTCCTCGATAGTAGTTCGAAACGACCTGACCTTCCTGGACCTGACGGTGCAGCAGACCGAGCACTTGAACAAGGCCTACGGTGTGAACGTGCCCCTTGTCCTCATGAACTCCTTCAACACCGACGCCGACACCCAGAAGATAATACGCAAGTACAAGGGCTTCGACGTGACCATAAAGACCTTCAACCAGAGCTGTCACCCACGAATAAACAAGGAGTCACTGCTCCCAGTGGCGAGGAGCTGCGACGTGGACGAGGAGCTCGAGGCGTGGTATCCTCCAGGTCACGGGGACTTCTACGAGAGCTTCCAGCGCTGCGGACTCCTCGACGAGTTCCTCAAGGACGGCCGGGAGTACTGCTTCATCTCGAACATAGATAATCTGGGGGCGACTGTGGACAACAAGATCCTGAAGCTCCTTCTGGACCCCAAGAGCAAGTCCCACGAGTTCGTCATGGAGGTCACCGACAAGACGAGGGCCGACGTCAAGGGTGGAACGCTGATCCAGTACGACGACAAACTCCGACTCCTCGAGATCGCCCAAGTCCCCAAGGAGCACGTGGACGAGTTCAAATCGATCAAGAAGTTCAAGTTCTTCAATACGAATAATTTGTGGGCGAAACTCAGTGCAATTGAGAGAGTCCTCAATGAAAAATCCCTCGACCTGGAGATAATCGTCAATCCCAAGGTCTCGGACACGGGAATTCACGTGATCCAGCTCGAGACAGCTGTTGGCGCTGCCATGAAGTCCTTCGAGAGGTCCATCGGCATTCATGTCGCTCGCAGCAGGTTCTTGCCTGTCAAGAAGACCTCGGATCTCATGCTCGTCAAGAGCAATTTGTACGTCCTTCGGCATGGCTCATTGATCATGAGCCCCCAGAGGATGTTCCCGGGGACTCCACTCATCAAACTTGGGGACAATCACTTCGCCAAGGTCGAGGAGTTCTTGAGGAGGTTCAGCACTATCCCGGATTTGTGTGAACTCGATCATCTCACTGTCTCTGGGGATGTCACCTTTGGGAGGGATGTCTCGCTCAGGGGAACTGTCATCATCATTGCCAATCATGGGGACAGGATCGATTTACCCTCGGGGACGATTTTAGACAATAAAATTGTCTCCGGAAATCTTCGAATTTTGGATCATTGAGATGAAAATTCGTTGTTCTAGGGTTTTTAGATGAAATTTTTAGAATATGTGAGTGCAATTATTTTTCACTGAACATAATTGGGAAGTGTGAAAGCTGGATGGAAAATATTGGGCACTTATTTTTATAATTTGGAAAGTGGAAAGTGGAGGAGTCACGTAATTACCAATTTCACTCGTTATTTTTTCGTTATTCGTCGAAGGGGAGAATGTCTCGTATTGTTTACCCAAGTTTCGTATACAGGAATGATCGGTTAGGGCTCATTAGTTGAAATAATGAAGCATCGATGATTATCTCCGTTAATGAGTCTTCGTTATCAGGATGAGGCCGAATTGCTCATTACCACATTCTTGAATTATCACTCGTCCGGAGTTGATTTCGCCTGAGGACAAATTTAGCAGGAAAACCTAGTGACCTTTACTAATCCCAGTCAGTTATATCCGACGTTAGTTGGACCGACGCACCAAGATTTTATTGCAGGGATTGTCCCCTAGGATATCCTCCACTAGATTAAGAGTTGATATTACTAGTTTTTTAATCGTGACGGCTTTAGCGAATTTTAATCCTCATTCTTCGTTCCTTTTAAATCGCGTGCGAACAAATTTTATGGGAAAACTTTGTGAACTCAGTGCAAAATTCTATTGGATTTTTATTACTAAATTCCGCAGGTTATTTGCGCATTTTTGGTCAATACAAATGCTCAATGGAAAATATTCCATTGAACAAATCAATAGAATTCTATTTTTCTACACAATTTATTCTATGAAGATTTCGTATAGAAATTCCTCGATTCAATTTGTTCAAGTCTTCGATTTTTTTTTTAAATAAAAAGAGAAAGAATAGAATGCAAAAAATATTAAACATTCACGTCGAGGAATTCTTATAGAAAATGTCTCAACTAGTTTCTATTGGAGATTTAAAAAAAAAGCGCAATAGAGCTGCAGAATTATTCAATCGAAATCCAATAAAATTTTCTATCGAATACACCAGGTTTTCTATGATTCCTTTTCTATGATAAAGATGTTGATGTTTGTTATCTGAAATAATATTTTTCATCTAGTCTACACTAAAGTCATACTCAACAGTAAAAATCTAATTGAATTACACCACTAGAAATTCGTATTGACGTGCTGCTAACATTTATTGAAAAAATTCGGACGGCTCTCGTCACCTCTCTCTCTCTCTCTCTTATAAATTCATCCTCCCACTCGTATAAAAATTGAACGTCAATAAATATAGTTTATAACTTACGAATAAATAAAGCCAAAATTACCGATAGTTTACGAGAAAAATAAATTTATGATTCATCGTTTGAAATAAAAAAAGCGAAAAAAAATGTTCAGTTCCTTTTCCCCATTTTTACAGGTATTATCCTCAAAATATTCTTCACATTTTTTTGATTCTAGCCACAGTGATATGCAGTTTTATCATTGATGAGAAAATTTATTTGCATTGCAGCTAGTTTCGTTAGATTGAGCTAGTTTTTGGTAGTGTTTTAGCAGTGGAATTGTCACGTGGACGTTCGTGAAATTCTTGAAAACAGGGGACAATGCAGAGATTTATCTGGCACTCGGGACAGTGGTACTTTGTTTTGCGTCTCAGGGTGCGACCGTGTGCGTCAACGGTGTTCCAACAGTGGTTGCAGCCGAGGGCTGGACCAGGACGTTGGACTGGGCAGTGACCGAGACGTTGGTCACTCGTTCCCTCGCGGATTCGAGGCTCTGAAGAACTGGATGTCGTCCCCATCTGCGGGAAGATGAAAATTTTTAGTTGAAATTGACGAAATAGGAAAATCTGCTGCATTGTTTAAGAAACTCTATAGATTTCTGATAAAATTCTATTGAATAATTCTGTTGTTTTGCTAATTGTTAATTGCTAATTGTATTGAAAATTATGCAATTTTATGACGCCATTTTCTGATAGAGATTTTTTATGGGAATTTCTAGGGCATAAATCCCAACAGAATGAATTATATTGAATAATCGGCATCTACAGAAATCCTTGGACATAAATTTTAATTTTTTCCTCACTTTATTTTTATTGGATTCTCACAATAAAATTCAAGAGAAAGAAACTAAGGAAATTTAGCCTCAATAATTGTTATAGAAAATATTCGCATGAGACGTGTGGAGATATTCACACGTTGATTTCAGAAGTGTTCTAAAATATTTGATATGATTTTCGTTTGTTGAGAATTCAATAGTAGACTATAGATCAGTTTTCAATGAATATCTCGAAATCTAAGGCAGATATCGAAATTTTTGTAATTACCTTTTCTACAGCTCTCAATTTCCCCCACAAAAAAGGTCATTATAAAAACTTTGCTATCTCCCTTAAATTCGGGGATATGCCTCGAAAACAGCCGAGAGCCAATTCGCCATAAATCGTTTTATCGCTCCACTACACTGAGAAAAAAGAATTACTTCTGCCAAGGAAATTTACTTGCCATTAGTAAATGTATATAAACATTTGCATTTTGCAATTACTTCTGTCGAGCAAATTTACTTGGCAAAAGTAATTTTCTCTCTCAGCGTACTGAATTCTAAAATGCAAAAAAAAATCTACAAAACCTGTGGTGTTGAGGAACTCCTCAACAACTCAGCAGGAATGATCCTCAGTCCACTGGCCGAGCTATTGTCCTTCCCGTCCCCAGGTCCCCCTTCGATCTTGATCCTCGGGAGAGGATCAATGGACATGCTGGGACTGGACGTCCTCCCAGGATACTCCGGGTTGGAGTGCTGTCTCTGCATCCACCCACTGTAATTCCCCGAGGACCCCTGCTGCTGGCTCGGCAGGAGTGGATGAGAGTGCTGTTTCACGAGGTACGAGGGCTGGGGAACAGTCAGGAGATTTGTACACGTCGTCATGGTCAACAGACTCTGGTTGGAGGTGTTGGGCTCAGTCTCCAGCAGATTCTGCGTTGGAAGATTCAGTATTGGCGTGACTGGATGGGGCGATTGGACGATCCTGGGGGAGCCGGGCTCACTGTCGGGGGAGGGATGTCCTGGCTCCAGGTCCTTCTTCACTCTTGGCTGCTGACGCATCAGGAGCAATCTACTCCTCTTTATTCCTACTTTTCCTTGATACGCTGGAATAATTTAGCAGTAGTTATTATGGACGAGTGTTTACTGGCATTTTTTTTCATTGAAATCGACATTCAAACGATAAATGCTAGAAAATTCTAGAATTGATCGTCTCGTAGATAAACTCTCAAATCAATCGAGAAGTTTTTATACATTTTTACAACTTTTTGGAGGGTTTCAGATCGGCTTGGGATATGCTAGAAAGAATGATCAAAACTTGGGAAAATTGGAGACAAGTGGACATCTCGAATTATAGTGAGATTTACCACGGATGAAAAAATTCAAAAGAAAGGGCGAAAGAATTTTCTTTTGGAAACGTTTTCAAATAGCGAAATATATTTGAACATTTCATGAGGAAATACGGTAAAGACAGCGCTTTTAATGAGAATTCTATTGGATTTTTATTGAAAGTCTACACGAATTCTATTGAGATTGTATCAAGATTCAATTAATTAACTCTATGTTCGGGCCAATTTTATTGAAGATTATGCAACTCTCTTCTGTGGAAATTTTTGGGCACAAATATTCCAAATTTCTCCTGCTGTATTTTTATTTGATAGTCATAATGCATTGCCAAAAAAAAAAAATAGAAAATTCATGCACAAGAATTCTCACTGAACTCCAATAGAATTTTTTAGAAAATATCTAGTTTCGTTTTTTCCACACGATTTTTCTTCTGCACTGTATTTCGGTATTGTCTAGTGGTTAGGATATCTCCTAAACTGCTTCAAATTTGAATTGTTTCTGAAATAGTTGAATATCAAAATTACTCGTGAAGCATAAATAATTAATTTTCATGAATAAATGAATAAATAAATGTTGAGGAAATCGATATATTTCAATGGAGTGATAAAATTGATTAAACCATGATTTTCATAATTTTTATTAAATATAAACTGCCATTACAATTAATAAATAATTACGCAACTGAATCCAAAGAGGTGCGACTAACCACGATTATTTATTGTCAGCATTATTGAACGCCATTGATCAACAAATAATCATTTTCAATGATAAATTTACCGATCAATAATCGGCATCAATAGTGACAGAAATGAAATGAACGAAATTTCCTAAATCATTTATTCACGTCTCTTTCGTTTAATACCTCTTTCGTGTAATACTTGTTCATTAGGATAATCGTATTTAATTATTATATAGAGTATCGTTCGACCGGTCGGATCGACTCCCTCGAGACAACTGATTGATCCTGTGGCCTCTAAAAAATCCAATGCCAATTCAACATTGCTACTTACAGTAGGCGCGGAACGATTTTTCTCTCTTTATTTATTGTTAGGATCGGTTGCCTCGTCCATCCACGTTTTCTTTTTTAAAAAAAGTCGAAATATCAACGTACGAAAGTATAACATGGTAAACAATAGAATACCGTATGAAAGACTCCAGAATACACGTATAACATGTGGAATAGTGAAATATAGCTGACATTAAAATAAATCACCAGGAAAAATTATTTACAAAATTTGACGATTTTTTTACACTTACTATGTAGCCTATGATCTATGTTTAAGCACGAAAGGAAGAAAACTGATGACAATTTTTCTTTAGTGGAGGAATAGAAATCAAATTTTGAAGAGAGTCGAGGGGAAGAACAGAAGAAAAAATGGGAAAAAAAGGAATTTTCCAAATTTTTCAAAGCACGCAAATGAAAATTAATATTCTTGGTGTTCCCACCAATTCAAGAAGAAATTATAGGAAAGAACGTGAGAGTGAAACCTTCAGAATTTTATATCTGAAAAATTCTTGGGCATGAATTCTGTAAAATTTATTTCTCTTGGATTTTGTGATAAGAAAAAATGAACAACAAGAAATGAAAACTGCCCCAGAATTTCGAGACAAAATATCTCAGAAAAATAATTAACGTAGAAAAATAAAAAAACTCGAAAAAATCATGTTTAAGGATTTTTTATAAAAAAATCAACACCCGCATTATTTCCCTACAACAAAAAAAATATTGAAAACCGAACGGCAAATGTGCACAATTGAACAGAATTTTCCCAAAAAAATGAGATTTTCGAACAGAATTCTAATGAATCATTTTCACCAAAATCATTTCACAAATTCTCAGTTTCACTCTCCCCCCAGACCCCAAAAACCTCCCCCTATTTGTACACATAGGATAACGCATCATTTCACATGGCGTTATAATTAACCCCATGTAAATTAATGGGCATATTGGTATTGGGTAACGAGTAATCATTATGCCTGGTGTCCACATAGCTGCTGAGCATGTGTGGGCTGTGTGCAGTGAGCATAGTGTGAGTATTGAGAGTATTATGCGTGCTATGAGGAGTGGTAGGAGGTCCCATAGGTGTGGGGCTCTGTGAGTTAACAGGCTGTGATGTTGGTGCAGGTGGTGGTGAAGTGGGCGCCTCCTGCTTGACCCTGGACTTGAGACTGGGCCGATTATTGGGATAGCCCCTCTTCTTGTACTCCAGCCAGAGGGTTCGATTATTGACCCCAAACATTCTCGCAGCTTTGCAAAAACCAATGCCCCCATAGCGAACAGCATCCAAAGCCCTGATGAAATTCTCATCTGCCTGGGGATTTGTCGATCTCTTTCTCTTGACTGTCGCCTGAGGACTGGCGCAGGGACTCTGACACGTATTTGTACACTGTCCCGATGGCGATGGACCACCTGACGATGGCTGAAGCCCTCCATGCGTTGGACTCGTATAATTCGTTAATGCACAACTCGAGCCTGGGGTATTTGTACCAGGATACTGATCATTGATGCTCGATGATGCCGTTATTTCGGGGGTTGTGAATGCCGATGATGCTTGAATCGACAGATTCGTTTGACACGAGGATAGAGCGAAACGTGGATACGTGTGCTCCATGATTGTCCATTGCAATCCTGTGGAACAGACCAATTCATTTTTTTTCTTCTTCGGTTTTAATCTTTAATTAAATAAAAATTCGACATTTTTTTCTCTGGCTGTTTTCGTCGTTCGGATTTTATCAGTATTGGAATTGTTGTTGGTCTTTAGGTGGCTCTCAAAGCGGAAATTATAAGAATATGGCATGGCACAGATACATACTCAAGCACTGGTTTTTAGTGGGGTAAATGCACCAGTGTTCGAACACGTCCAGTGATCGAACTAATTTATGTATTTATCGTTGAATAAATGCTCAGTGCAGTGAAATGGGACTTTTGTCCTTTTTAAAAACCAATATAATGTTCAAATTCAATAAGACCTGCTGAAAATTTTCTATATTATTGTATCTTGGTCTTTCGATCATTGGTATTTGACGACTCTTATTCGTTCGAACACTGGACAGTTCACCCTAGTTTGCTGTTGTTTCAAAGCGGATTTTGTGACTTTAGTTTGGCTCGCGTGTATGAAGAAATTCAAGAGAACAATTGAACGTTTTTTTGAGGAATTTTATTGGAGAAGTCAATTGATTTTGATTTTCCTCTAGAAATTCTTGGGCAGAAATTTTTCAACTTTTTTCTGCTGTATTTTTATTCTTGATTTGTTTATTCGTACTAATTCTTATTGACAAATCAACATCTATAAATGTTTTCATTTTTAACAGAATTGGAACAAACACTAACAGATTCTTCAAATTGATTCCTAATAGAACTATATAAAATAAGAATTCTATTGGAGTTCTCTCGAAATTCTATAGAATATTTTTTTTGCGTCAATCCTATTGAAAATTATGCAACTTCGAGTCATTTTTTGGTAGATATTTGACTGAAAAAGATCAATAGATTTTGATCTGTAGTTTTTTCTCCACCAGAAAATATTCACCAAAAGAACTGCGTAAGAAATACTAATTTTTTTAGCAGAATTAACGTAGAACTCCAATAAAATTCCTCAGAGAAAACGTTAGATTTTTAAATTGAATTTTTTCATACGTGTGGCTGAAGTGAAAGCACACATAGACACTCTATGATTCAGGAACACTTGATATTCAGGTGTGCTATGTATCTGTGTGCCATCGAAACACTGATATAAGTTATTTCATAATTTTTGGATAGAATTTATTTTATGAATTCGCTCTATATTCATGTCAAACGTCTGTTGATTCCGTTGTGCAACATACTTGAACGCATCTGTGCCAGCATATATTACACAATTGAGCTTAATTCGTTAGCATGCAGGTGGGAGAGACTAATCGACTGGAGTCACTTACTCCTGGGTTTTCAGACTTTAAGATAAACGAGGTACGAAACGCGGGAGATTTGTCATTGAGAATGGGGAATAATGATCAGGATTTTCATGATAATAATGCATTTACTGGTGAAACCAATCGGAGGTGAATGTTAACGTTCATTGAATTTCAACGAATTATTCATTGATTTTTTTATCGGTTTTTCTACGTAAAATGAATAAAAGAAATCAGATAAAATATTATTGCGGGGCTCACCTTGATGTGCTGATGTCTGCCCTGATGATAATGAACTCTGCACGTTTGTACCTGATTGCTGACTCACGTCCTGCATTGAACTCTCACTTTGGGCCGGAGTCGTTGCTGAACTACTCTCCATGTTGCTCATCTGAAAGATAATTGATGCGATTTTTTATTAAATTCATTTATTAATTCTCCACTTCTGTGGAAAAAGGCGATAGATTTCAATTTTTTTACATGTTTCATCCTCTCCATATTAATTTTTGTAGAAAATTGAACATTATTTATTATAATGCAAGAAAAGAAATAGACTCATTTTTAAAATTGTTTACAGAATAATTCATAAAATTAAAAATTTATCATTCTGTCGTCATTTAAAAATGACTTCTGTTAAAATTTATTCTGTAGAAATTCTGGAGCATAAATTTTGAAAATGCAGGAGTAAAAAATTGCTGTTTAAAAATGTTTTAGGAGTGCAATTTTTTAATTTACCAATTACTCCTGTGGACTTACAATTGATATTTGATCCTCATCGATACTCCCTTGCGACTCAGTGCTGGTATTAATAGGGCGCCTTAAATTCTCACCACTCTCCTGTGTCATAATGAGTGGCTCTGGTTTGACAATATTAGTGGCAACAAGAGTTATTTCACTGACTTCCTCCTGCTTATCTCCAGATCCAGACGTCGAGCCAGTCGACGTCTTCCTCAATCTCTTTCTCCTGTAGGATGGTGACATTGGTGATGGGCTAGGTGAGCATGATTCACCCCTGTTTCCATCGCTCGGCTCTGAACTACCACTTGGCCACTTCGTTAATGACGCTGTGTGCATCTCGGCGAGACCTTTGATCTTTAAACTCTCGGCAGTCTGAGGAAAACAGATGGTTGAGTTCGGGAAATGAGTTGTTAATTCAATTTGGGATGGGGTAGAACGAGATGGAATAACTTAATTTAAAAATTTTTCTGGGAAAAGGAATTTCAGTTTTGTCTAATAGATATTTGATAGAAAAAAAATTCAGTTTCACTTTTTTTTTTCAATTCAGTTTCGATTTCAATTAGTAATTTCAATTTGAAAGATTAATTTTATTCAATAGATGTTGATTTTTCAATGCAACTTCTTTTGTTGAGATAATTTCTACGAGAATTCGTGAATATGGAACATGAACATTAGAATTTTAATTAAAAAATTACATTCATTGACTTTTTTACATCAAATTGTATTAATTTTGGATAGAATCATTCTGAAAGACTTCTCTTGTTGTAGCACAACTCCACTCGAAAATTAACCAACAATTTCCCCTTTATCATAATTAGAAAATAAATAAAATTGGATTTCTTCTACACAACTCATATTATTGTGATATTTTCCATGAAAATTCTTGGATTCTACATTGAAAAGCCAAACACAAATAATAGAATAAATTTGGCCAACTCATACCCACGAATTTTTCTGAAAAACCTAAACTCGTTTTTATCAAAACATCCCTTTGAAAATTGCTCCAGAGTTGCGTAATTTTAGATTTAACTCCAAGTTTTTTATCAACATAATTCTAGGTTTTCCTACTTTTTTTCATGTTAAATTGTCTTAAGAAACTCACGAAATAAAATGAAACTATCCCACTTCCTCTGAAGCAAAGTTTTTATCAGAAATCGACTCAAAAAATTTCTCCATAGAGTTGCATAATTTTTAATCTAATTCTAATGGACCCCCTCTGGAATTCCTGAGAGAAAACTACGTTTCCCTATCGACTTTTCTTCAAACCTGTTAAATCCCAGAAATTGTTTTAAAAAATCGACGAAATAAATTGAAACCATCTCATTCCCCTCCCTCTCAACAAATATAATTCGTCATTATCACGAAATAACATTGAATATGTCCCATGCAACTGCAACATTTACCTTAATAATAGATGGCAGCTGATCCTGAGAGACATTGACCTCCCCATAGTACATAAAATCCACCATAATCTTGAGATCCGAGAACTTCACATCCTTCAGTATAACAATAGGATGCTGACAGGGATTAACCGTGAAAAGTGACTGAAAGTACGTGCTGCAAGCTGACAAAACGACTTTGTGTGCCTGCAAGTGTCTCCCCTCAGCAGCAAGTGTCACATCAACTAGTGTCTCATTGCTCAGAAGAGTTGAAAAAACAGATATGAAATTCGGCTGATGATTGTTCCAACGAAGGCAGAATTGTTGCATCGACATTATTACCCCTCGATGTCCAAACAATTGCACTCCAAAACCTGAAAAGAAGTCCCCAATGTAATCAGCAACATTTCGCAATGATCCACCCAAAAACAAAAACAAAAAGAACAATTAAAAAAAACAACACAAATTCCAATACCTTTGTCTCCTCGATGAAGGCAACTCGTCAATTTTTCACATATTTTCCATAAATTAAACAGGAAAAAATGTCAAATTATTTTCACATGAATTCGTTTTCTTTCGCTGTTTCACTGGGCTAATGAAAACGACAGCAATTCAACGAAAATTCACTCGTCAAGTTGACTCAATTGCGTTTGGAGAAGATAACAGTCAACAATTGATGATTCTATTCTCAACAAAATAGGAAAAAGGACTTCTCCTCGCTGTTTTCTCAGTTGTTTGCTAAATTTATCAAGTAGACTGACCGATGACGCTTGTGTAACTCGCGGAGAGTGACGTCATAAGAAGAGCGATAGAACGTGGCCCTATTGCGTCGTAAATGCAATGATAATTCATTCGTTACTGTGCATCTGGTGTGATTGGATTTATTGTAACACTGACGATTGTTTTCGGCTGTTGTTGGAACGAGGGGGGGGGGATTATTGGTAAATGTCAAACTGTGATATTCATAAATTGAGGATGATCAATACGCCAGGCGGGGGTCGGCTTTTTGGGGGACGTTTGCCACTCTTGAGTGTGAGCAATGTCTTTGCTTGTGAACAGGTAGAAGTCTGATTTATCTGCGGAGGCTCTGGGGAACATGAAACGGTTTTGGCGGGATAGTTACGAAATTATTTGTTGGGACATTGTGGTCACTAGAGAAATCCCTCGCCTTCGGCCCGTGCTGCAAACCTCATTTTCGCCAGAAAAGTTTTTTTCGGCCCAATGACGAAATATACTATTTCATCACGCTGTGACGAAAAGTGAACTTTTCAAGTGTGTTTTCATCACAATGTGGCTGAAATTGGACTTTTAGGCACGCTCCGCGTGCCACAAAGTTCACTTTTCGTCACAGCGTGATGAAAATTAATTTTCGTGTCGAGGGACCTGCAAAACGCCAATTTCGTGGTGCGCAGCGCCACGAAAATGAGGTTTCTCAGGTCCCGTGACACGAAAAAAAATTTCTCAAGTAAATTCAAAATTTCCCGCGTCGACAGTCCCCCCAAAATGGCGTCCTAACAGCGCTCACCGAGAAAGTGGCCTGCGCCAAGGTGGAGCACTGGCCGAAAGAGAAAAAAAGCCCTCCGAATGGAGCGTTCTCCCCCAGACTCTCCCCATTGGTATTCCACCCAATTCGTGTAGTACAGCACTGCAGTCCTGCATTGCTATGGCCGCTTTCGTGACGAATAAATATCCGCCATTCCTCCCCCACAATCCACGATAAACCGAGGCCCCATACGAATGCTTAAACCCTCAATCCATATTGTCGATTGTTCGGGTGACGCCATTAGTGTGCAAAAAGGATTCCGCGGAGGACGGGGGTGAGCCGAAAATGGAAGAGAATCAAACATCGGAAAGTGTCGCTGTGCTACCGGACATGTCCGAATCGTTAACGAGCGAGACCGAGGAGGCGTCCAGTCTGTCGACTGAGCACGAAGCCCATCCTGTTGCTGTTGCTACTAATGTTACAACAGTGCCAAGTGTCCAGGGTGTACCGGTATCATTACCTGTTGGCTCCATCATCGGGGTGTCCAATTCCAGCAATGGCACCACCTTCAACGTCATCACTTCCGATGGCCTCCAGGTATGTAGCATCATCAGGTCCATGAACTTAAGACGGTCCTGGTGATGAGGCTCCAGGTGATTCCTCTAAACATCTGCAATGGGCACGCATGGAAAAATTCAATAGAAAACCTAGCGAATTCGCGAGAAAATTCTATTGGGATTCTATAGGAATTCTATTGTATAATCTATCTCTTTTGTAAGTAACCCCTGTGTTATCTGAATAGAATACAATCGCCATGTTAATTGCAAGTAAGAGCCCAAGGGCTGAGACTACGACTAAATTTTTTCTAAGCTTGTAACATCATATTTATACATTGTCCAACTGTATTTTATGTTAAATAAACGCCTTTAGGGGAGGTTAGGGTAAAACGGACACTTTTGACTTTTTAAAAAATGTTAATGAGTGGTTGAAATGTCGATGAAATTTACTAATTTTTTTTCAATACAAAGAACAATTCTTTCCCTTTGTGACGAGCCTCAACTGAGCTCAATTGATAAATTTGTTTCTGAGTTGTAAATGATTTTAAAAAAGTCTAAAGTGTCCATTTTACCCCACCCTCCCCTAATTCAGTAGCGAAGTGGTAAAGCGACTTAAGTTTAAGTCGACTTATCTCCCAGTTGAGTTTTTGAGGAATATTTCCGAATCTAAGGGAGATAGCGAAATTTTTGTAATTTCATTTGTTGTAGCACTCAATCGGCTCTACAAAAAAGGTTATAACAGCAATTTCGCTATCTCCCTTAGATTTGGAGATATTCATTGAAAACTGATCAATAGTCAAAATTCACTTATACCGTTTTACCACTTCGCTACTGAATTGTTGCTGTAGTAGGAATTCTATGGCTTTTCTATAGGATTTCTATTGGAATTCTGCAGAAAAATTCTATTTTTTTTTTGCGCCGATTCTATCGGATATTCGATAAGAAAAAGTCAATTCGTTAATTAGTTAGTCAGATAAGAAAAGTGATTTAGAAATTCTGTTTGGAATTTCCTCTTGAGATTTTTAAAAGAAAATCCAGCGGAAAAAACGTGGAAACCGAGAAAATCCTATAGAAAATATTTCAATAGAATAATCGAACACTTCAATAGAATCGGCCAAACACTAATAGAAAGTTCGAAAGAAATCCAATAGAATTCTAACGAATTCACTAGATTTTTCTACGAAATTTTTTCGTACGTGCCAACAGGATTCCCAAGAAAAAACCCACCACAAATCCTGGATTCCTTTTTTAAAAATAATTTCTCATTGTTGTTAACGTGTTTCTGTCATATACAAATGAATAAATTACTTGACCTTCGCAGCTCCCAACGTCTGGTGAATTCAAGCAGATGCTGTGCGTGGACAATGGCTTCATCTGCGAGCCGAGACACGACAAAGACACAGACCCACTGCGTTGGAACGGTGAGCTCAAGGCGACTCACATCGTTATCCAGAACAGCCCAGAGGAGACGGAAAACGAGCAGATTCACGTCACCACGGGCAACTCCCAGTCGATCTGCAGCTGGTCAGAGTCAGCTAACATGTCAGTACTCCCAGTGAGGTGCAAGAATACGAATGCAGAGCTCCACAAGAGTCGCTTTGGGTCGGGGGGCAGAGGGAGGTGCATCAAACTGGGGAATGACTGGTACACACCGAGTGAGTTCGAGGCGGCCTGTGGCAGGGCCAGCAGCAAGGACTGGAAGAGGAGCATCAGGTTCGGGGGCCGAAGTCTGCAGACACTCATCGACGAGAATATCCTCAAGCCACATGCCACTTCCTGCACATGTGCTGCCTGCTGCGATGACGACAGTGCGGTGGGTCATCATTTTTTATTTTATCTATTAAAGAGCCAACAGCTGAGGCCAATTGTAGGGTCAAATCGTTACACAATTGTAACGTGGCCATTTTTTCCTGGGGATAAAAATGTAGGAGTTTATATTGTCCCAACATTTTACGGGAAAAGAAATTCTCAATCCTTGGTAAAAGAAATAAGAAGCCAAAAACGGAGAACTGAGGTTCAAAATTAAGTTGAATTTACACTTGAATTTTTTTTGGGAGTAATACCGGGGAAAAAATGAGAAATTTTGAAATTTTGAAATTTACGTAATTAGTTTATCTTGATAAAAAAAATTTTTTAGTCATTTAGTTTTTATTTATTTGGAACTCTACGAAAATTCTATTCGAGGTCTATTATAATTTTTTTTAATTTTTGTGTCTTCAATGTTTTTTTGACAGAAAATAGTCCATTGATGTTGATTTTTTAATGTAGCTTATTGTGTTGCGATTTTCTCTATTTTTCTTGAATTTTATTATGAAAAATAAGTAAAAGTAGAACGGAAAAAACATGGAAAATTTATGCCCAAGAATTTTTATTAAAAAATGAAAATCTGCTGAGTTTTTTCTATCAAATATCAGTTGAAAATACTACGGTAAGGTTTCACAATTATCAGTAGAATTGTCAAATACAAATATTACGATTTCTTCTACAAAAATTCTTGGGCAAGAATTTCGATTTTTCGAATTGTATTAAATTTTTCTATAAAATACTTTCCATTGAACTTTCCTATTAAAAAATTCTGCAGTTAATCTGCGCATTGAAAACAACGCCAAAAACAAACATAAAGTTCGATGGAAATCCACTAGAATTTTCTATCAAATGCCCTAGGTTTTTCTATGAAATTTTCTCATACACCTGCAGACAGGCCCAGTTCGTCTATTCACCCCCTACAAGCGTCGGAGAAGAGCACGAGAGGCCTCCGACGGTGAGACCCCATCTCGAAAAGTAAAGAGTGACAATTCCCGAGACGGTAGCAACAACGACGAGAGTGATAATGATGCAGCTGTTGAAACAAAGGACGTGTGGCCGCAGTACGTGTCAGCAGAGGGTCTCGTGGTGCATCATGCCGCAGACCCTGACCAAGTGATATCAGCAGTTCACGCTGAGAACGGACAGACCGATGACGTCTTCAAGAAGCTCGATGACATGTCCACGAAGATGCTGAAGCTCGCTTACGAGTTCAAGAGAACTGTCGAGGAGGCCAAGGAGACCAATAGACAACTGAGGAGGGAACAGGCACTTGTGGCTCAGTTAGGGGGAAGGGGAGATGTCATTGAGACTGTTGGACTGCAACCAGCACCCAACTCTCATAATAAAAAGGTAGTCAAACATTTTTTTCAAAGTTTTTCCTTTTTGTTCAACTGAATAATATTTTTTGCATTATTAATTTTTGAATATTCACAGGGAAAATTCTATTACATTTACATTTTTCAACAAATATATTTAATAGAAAATATTCTATATAAAAAATTAATAGAATTTAATTTTTCAAATTTAAAAAATTGGAAATTTTTTTGTTAGATTGTTTTTTTTATTCATTTCAATTTGATTGTTTTGATAAAAATCAGCATGTTCTTTCAACATAATAATAATAATAATAATAAAGAGAAAAATGGAGTCAAGAAAAAATGGAAAAAATTGATGTCGAGGAATTTCTCAAGAAAATCACTCAATAAAAAAATTTCAAGGATAAAATTCTACTAATTTCTTCTATAAAATATTCGCTACAGTAAAGCTATGGAATTCTTCACTAGAATCGGCTGAAAACTAATAGAATTTTCAATAAAAGTTCAATAGGAAATCTATCGAATTCGCTAGGTTTATCTATGAAACTATTTTACGGGTAATGGAGTGAGTTTAATTTTTTCTTTTTTCCAGTGCGCCAATTGCAATCGTGAGGCATACGCCGAGTGTTCCCTGTGCAGGCGTACCCCCTATTGCTCAACATTTTGCCAGAGAAAGGACTGGGGAAGCCATCAAGTGGAATGTGTTCGCGGTGCTGCTGAAACAGTAATGCTGATCGTGGAGAGTAGCAGCGCTGACACTGGATCACTGGCACGTGGCGGTGATGACCAATAGTTGATGATTCTGATCGATGATCCGAGTGGAGACTCCACTCAACTTCATGTTCAAACTAATGATGATGCATAGATTAATCCTTCGAGCATAATTAGACGAAATTCTTCGATTAAGCTAAAGGAGAAAAACACTGTATATAAATATCATTTCTATGACGGATACGAGAATATTGCGACGAAGCCGAAATACAATTCTTTCATTATTATGTAGATCTAGATGAGTCTGAGAACATTTTTAGCACATAATTTTTTCATGTCGAATTAAGGTTGAGGTAGTTATGTAAATACCTTGAGGAACTTAAAAATGTCGCGTGGTCGATGAGATCATGAGAGTGATGAATTGGGAAATAAAAAAAATTCAATAATTTATCGGGAAAAATTTATTCACTGATTTGATTTTAAATTACGACTTTCGCGCATTCGTTTTCCTTTTGTCCAGATGGAGTAATATTTTATACAATGAAAATTTGTTAATTTTCAAATTTCTCCCCGCAGGGCATAAGTGTCCGTCGACTAAGGGTGAAGGGATACCTGCAGATAATACTGTCGAAAACATTTTCAAAATTGAAAAAACGAATCATTCTAATTCACTTTTAAATTCTTTGAAGTTTATCGCCGTTGACATAACATTATCTATTTCATGAGTGCTTTCATGAAAATGTAAATACCTTGAGGAACTTGAAAACGTCGCATAGTCGATGGGATAATGAGAAAGTGATGAATTGGAAACTAAAAAATCCAACTTTGTAAAATCTCAATTTTCCTTCTAACCAATTACTCTTTCATTATTTCACAATTTTTCATTTTTCATCGTCAATTAGTGCATCAATTCATGCACATGTTCACGTCAATGTCGATCTCCACCTCTCCAAAGTGAATAACATTAAAAACCATCAGATAATAGTGAAAAATATTTATTACAACAGAGTTAATCGACTCACCATAAAAAATTGAATAACAATATTTCGTTCCCTTCAATAATTCCCAAAATGTTTGAGTCTGTACAAATAAGCATTATTCTTATTATTCGAAATGCCCAGATATCCACTGTTAGGTGAGAAATCAATGTCCAGAGGATTATGCATAACCGTCTGAAAGGTAGGAAAATTCGAGAAGACGTGCAACGAAGGTAGATGGATCATCCTGAAGGCATTCTCCTTGAACTGAGAGGCCATAGCCAGGATTTCAGACGTTGGATTGAACTTCAGGGATGTAATGGGGGTCACCAGGTTCAGGACGATCTTCAGGGGCTGTGGGAACCTGCTCCCCATGACTGTCTTCGTGTCGTAGATGTTGACGACCCCCTGTTTACTGCCAGTCGCCAGGAACTGCCCACTGGGGGAAACTGCAACTGCACCTGAGGCGAGACAACCGTCGTCCACTGCTCGATGGGTGCATCTCCTGGTGTTCACGTCCCAGATGTAGATTTCTTCACTCTCACCGTGGGTTATGAGGTTTTTACTGTCTGGGGTGAAGGCCATCGTGCAACATTTCTTGTTCATTCTCACTGTTGTTATTGATTCCTTGGTGAGACCATTGAGCAGGTGAATCTCTCCGGTTCTTCCGGCTACTGCAATTAGTTTTCCGTCTGGAGAGACTTCAAAATTCTGGAAAAAAGGATTTTTTAATTTTATTCTTTGGTGGAACATTTTTTAGTCAGAATATGGTTGAGTGAAACTCAAAAATAAGAATTCGATAATTAAATCTGTGTAACCAGAAAAGTCAATTTATTGAACACGTCAATTATTCGTTCGTAATCTTGAAGTGATTGACAAAAAAAAATTTGGCTAGCTATTTTTTCCAAAATAGAATTAAAATGATGTTTCAGTGACAAATTTGATGATTTAAAATCTCTCAATCCATGTGATTCAATTTTATTGATTAATTCAATATTTTTTAATCCGAAAACCCTAACAATTACCCTATTGCAATGAATGTGTGCTTCCCAACAATAATTTATTCACTTATACCTTAAATTTATTTGAGGTGTAAATAAATTTAAGGAATAAAGTGATTCAATTAATTAATTAAATAAATTTAAGGTATTTAAAGCAATTTAGGTATTTATTTCAGTTTTCTTTCGTTAATTAATAAATTAATTTATCAATTTATTTTTCCAATTTTTTATTTAGTTATTTAAATACCTTGGCATTAGTCACATTATGTGGCAGCTGTGCCTTGTACGTCTTCCCACTCATCAGATCGTAAATCTGGCAGTAGTTCCTGTACCTAGTACCCAGGATAATCTCAGTTCCATCCTTCAAAAACCTGGCGCAATTCACCGGGAATTTATCGAACTTGATGCTCTGCAGCTTCTTGTTCTCCTTCCCATCAATTTGGAATAAGGAGACAACCCCAGACAGGCCAGTGGCGAAGGCGACAGTCGACGTCGGATGAAACCTCAAGTTTGTGACGAAGGGGCCCTCATTCTGCGTCTCGTTGTTGATATTCCTCAGTGCTTTGATCTCAATCAGCCCCTTCGCCAACTTCTTCGTCTTCACCGGAGCCAAATGATTACTGTGTTTCAGTATTTCGTGTTCGGAGTCCGAGTCCTCCTCCTCGTGGGTCTTTATCTCCGCCCATTTTGGAGTGCCAACTAGTTTCGTGAATTTATTCTGAAGATATTCTTTCAGATGCGTCTCAGGGCGGTGCTTCACGTGCAATCGGGGATTCGTAACGTCGTTCAATCTGAAATGATGCACAGAAGTGATTTGATTTATTTATTCGACTCACCAAATTAATTTAATCATAGAATTCTTTTTATTGAATTAATTTTATGGATCACATTTATTTATTTATTTTTAAAGGCTTTATTTTGAGTGAATGAATCAATCATTTCGGATAATTCGGAATTCCATTGAAATAAAGAAAAATAATACATTTAGGGGAAGTCGGGGTAAAATGGACACTTTTACGTTTTTTTTTAAATTAGTGACGGGTTGAAATGTTGATGAAATTTAATCTTTTTTTTTTTCAATACAAAGAACAATTCTTTCCCTTTGTGATGAGCCTAAACTGAGCTCTATTGATACATTTGTTTCTGAGTTATGAATAATTTTTAAAAAGTCTTAAAGGTCCATTTTACCCTACCTTCCCCTATTGAATAATTTAGGAACTTATCACAATAACAGTGGGGAGACACTTTCGTCGTACAAATTCATATGTTAATTTTGATAATAGTATTGGAATGAATGTATAAGTTTCTTAATTTCACATAAAAAATTGTATCTATTGTTAAATAAATATAAAAATCTGAAATAAAGAGTTTTGCTTCACTCAATTCCGTAATTTTCCTGGTTTTATTTCATTTCAATTATCAATCTAGTTGTTTATAAACAAAACATTGTTGGAAAAATCTCAATATCTCTAGAATTGAATTGAATTTCAGATAAACAAGTTTTGTTGAATATAAAAAAAACTCATCCTTTCACAAAAAAAATTCTCTAATAGAAAAGAAATGTTAATAATTACGTGTAAGTCTTGTCATCAGGATCCACCCAGGCAGCCCCACTCTCCTCCGCTCCGCCATCAGATTCAGCCCCAGAACCCTCTGCAACATCTCCATCAGATTCATCTCCAGATGTCCCTGATTCCCCTCCAGACCTCTCCGATTCCTCCCCAGACAGCTCCCCCAACTTTTCTCCCTCAGACTCCTCATCGCCGACCTCACCAACATCCCACCGCTGCTCATCCTCCCCCAGCAGCTTCTCAATGACATCCTGCCCATCTCCAAAGACAACCCTCTCTAACCTGCAAAAGTCCCCCAGTCAAAACCTCATATCGAACCCCCAAAACCTCATTAAAAAAAATATCCCCTCACCTGGCCTCCTCTTCAGAATCATACAGCAGCTTCTGCCTCTTGACCGGCGGCCCCGACATCATCAACCCTCAAAAACCTCACAATCCCCCCAAAATCATGAGCATCAACCGAAATCAACAAAACTTCACGTGTCTCCTTCCTCCATTCTCTAAACGTGCCTTTGCGTGCCTTCAAAAAGCGAAAAAAAATCCAGAAAAAAAGAGAGGGGGGTCGTTTGTACACATTCCCAGATGGACACGTTCTAGGGAAAATGGCGTCAGTATGGGAGACAGTGGAACCGGTGGAACAGATGGTAAATCTCTAGGGATTCTAGGGATGGACGATATTTGTCGATTAATCGAAGACATCGGTTTCATGTCCAAACATCGATGTTTTTTACTCGATGTTCCCAACGGCCGATTAATCGATTCTTTTTTTCAAACATCGATGTTTTTGAGCCAGCTAACAAAATTTTTAATTTTTTTATCGAATAATAATATTGACTGATTGAGATTAAAAAAAGTAATAATTTATCCGCATTCAGCAGTAACTATTTTCTACAGTATATGCGTTATAAATGACAAGTAAAAACTCCAGTCGTCTATTGCTTTTTCAATTTTTTTCAAAATTTTTAAAATTAAAAAAATTATTTTTCCTGTGATGAGAAAAAGATCGATTTTTTAATGATCGATGTTTTTTTCAGCAAAATCGATACATAACATCAATGTTTTTGGAAAGTATCGATTATTCGATAATCAATACTTTTTAAAACATCCCCCCTCCGATAAATCTCTAGCAACCATTGCCAACCTCTAGTTACAAGACTTGAAATACACTAGAATGCAACTGTTCCCCCGTGCGGAACCCACCCCCTGCAGGGACTTTTGCCCCCCTGAAGTCCCTAGCGCACCCCTGGAACATGTCGCCGCATCTTTTATTGAGGTTATGAATAGTTGAAATAGCGGGAAACGCGTTCTCCCACCTCCGGGGCCGAAGCTTGTGCTGTGCAATCCGACGATCTCCACCTCAATCCTCACAATTGAATGATTCAAGTATCCCCGAGCCCCTGAAAAATCCTCCAGACCGCGAAGTATATCGATCAAATTAACTCGTCCCTCCATTTCCCCACCGCAATAGCCGAAATAAATCCGAGTCCCAGGAGTGGGAAACGTCTGTGGAGTCGCATACGCCTGAGCTCTAACCGAAAAATTCCAGTTGTTGAATCAGTGATCGAACGAGCGAATTAACACCGAGGCATTTTCAAGTTCGGATTATGATCGAAAGAAGCTGGAGTGATGACGCGATCTGTTGTGCGAGAGCCTGATCAGGATAATCAGTCGGACGTACCCGTGCAGAGGGGCTCCGTTCCAGGGGACACGGGCAAACTTGCTAAAAACATGGATTCTGGTATCAATGGCATCACCACGAGGTACGGGAGGGCTGTTAAAATGGTTCATTCTGGGGACGATCAGGCGAACAAGGTGAGTTTATTTGGGTTAGCGGGGGGCGAGGGCGGGGGATGTGGGGGTTCATTTGTTTGGGGATTGGAAATAAGTGAAANAAACCTCACAATCCCCCCAAAATCATGAGCATCAACCGAAATCAACAAAACTTCACGTGTCTCCTTCCTCCATTCTCTAAACGTGCCTTTGCGTGCCTTCAAAAAGCGAAAAAAAATCCAGAAAAAAAGAGAGGGGGGTCGTTTGTACACATTCCCAGATGGACACGTTCTAGGGAAAATGGCGTCAGTATGGGAGACAGTGGAACCGGTGGAACAGATGGTAAATCTCTAGGGATTCTAGGGATGGACGATATTTGTCGATTAATCGAAGACATCGGTTTCATGTCCAAACATCGATGTTTTTTACTCGATGTTCCCAACGGCCGATTAATCGATTCTTTTTTTCAAACATCGATGTTTTTGAGCCAGCTAACAAAATTTTTAATTTTTTTATCGAATAATAATATTGACTGATTGAGATTAAAAAAAGTAATAATTTATCCGCATTCAGCAGTAACTATTTTCTACAGTATATGCGTTATAAATGACAAGTAAAAACTCCAGTCGTCTATTGCTTTTTCAATTTTTTTCAAAATTTTTAAAATTAAAAAAATTATTTTTCCTGTGATGAGAAAAAGATCGATTTTTTAATGATCGATGTTTTTTTCAGCAAAATCGATACATAACATCAATGTTTTTGGAAAGTATCGATTATTCGATAATCAATACTTTTTAAAACATCCCCCCTCCGATAAATCTCTAGCAACCATTGCCAACCTCTAGTTACAAGACTTGAAATACACTAGAATGCAACTGTTCCCCCGTGCGGAACCCACCCCCTGCAGGGACTTTTGCCCCCCTGAAGTCCCTAGCGCACCCCTGGAACATGTCGCCGCATCTTTTATTGAGGTTATGAATAGTTGAAATAGCGGGAAACGCGTTCTCCCACCTCCGGGGCCGAAGCTTGTGCTGTGCAATCCGACGATCTCCACCTCAATCCTCACAATTGAATGATTCAAGTATCCCCGAGCCCCTGAAAAATCCTCCAGACCGCGAAGTATATCGATCAAATTAACTCGTCCCTCCATTTCCCCACCGCAATAGCCGAAATAAATCCGAGTCCCAGGAGTGGGAAACGTCTGTGGAGTCGCATACGCCTGAGCTCTAACCGAAAAATTCCAGTTGTTGAATCAGTGATCGAACGAGCGAATTAACACCGAGGCATTTTCAAGTTCGGATTATGATCGAAAGAAGCTGGAGTGATGACGCGATCTGTTGTGCGAGAGCCTGATCAGGATAATCAGTCGGACGTACCCGTGCAGAGGGGCTCCGTTCCAGGGGACACGGGCAAACTTGCTAAAAACATGGATTCTGGTATCAATGGCATCACCACGAGGTACGGGAGGGCTGTTAAAATGGTTCATTCTGGGGACGATCAGGCGAACAAGGTGAGTTTATTTGGGTTAGCGGGGGGCGAGGGCGGGGGATGTGGGGGTTCATTTGTTTGGGGATTGGAAATAAGTGAAAACGTGGGGGAGAGTTGTTTTTATTGGTGGAGGGGTTTATTTTTGTGGGGATCGGGCTGTTGAGACCATTTTGGAGGGAGTTTGGCTGCGATGTTTTTTTCTGACGGTGGACATGATGATTTTGAGAACGGGAGAGGATTCCATGATTTTTTCGGAGGTATTTTGCATTTTTTTCAGTTTTTATTGTTTGAGGATTTTTTTCTGGGGATTTGTTGGAGAGTTATAGAGTTGTTAGGGATGATTTCAACGGAATTTAGCTGCAATATTTTTTTTATTGTTGAGAAGAGATTTAGATGACGAGAATCATGATTTTAGAAACAAGAAAATTCTCAGATTTTTTAAACCATTTTATTTCTCATTTTTTTTATGAATATCATTTATTTAGTCATTCATTTAATGTCATGCTCTCTGTTTAGGTCTCTTAAACCCTAAAAAAATTCAACGAAAAAAAAAGAAAAAAATGTTTGATTTCATTCCGTCGATTTCTACTTATTGACGATTGAAAGGATTTCATTCTACCCTCTTGTCCCCTAGATTAGATCAGGTGTTCAGATGTTCGGGATGATTTCCCCCCAAGAACGACCACCAATTCTGATTGAATAAATATTGAGAGGAATTCTGTTTTGCAGTCATCGAAAACGCCGAAGGCACCTCAGGTGGCAGCTCCAGCAGCTCCAGCCGTAGTTAATACCCAACGATCGGAAAATGGCGCGACTCCAGAGACTCTCAGAGCGGGGAAAATAAAAAGCGAAGGTCCAGAGAAAAATACGAATGTGATTAAGCGGGAGCCCCTCCCAGAGACACCAGAGTCAGAGACTCCAGATTCCAAAGAGTATATTCTAGGGACCTTGAATGTCAATTCAAGAGACGATGAGAAGTCCTCGGAAAATGTCCGATGGGTTGTGGGAGAATTAGCATGGGCACATGTCAGTAATTATCCGTACTGGCCGTGCATCGTTACCGAGGATCCCATTGATAAAACCCACTTGAAACAAAAACGTGAGTTTTTCAGAAAGTATTTGCAATGATTTAAAAATAATGATTTCATCATAGGAGTTCTTCGGGACTCGAACGTACTAATTCACTGGGTTCGAGGCTCCTGTTGCACTCGATATCATAAAAATAATGAAGACAATTACTCATTCATGACGATAATCAGTGATTTTATTCATTGGGTTGAACTATTGGATTTTTAGTGCCTGTCTTTGGATTTATTTTTTAATGTCTTATGGCTCTTCAATTCTTAAATATTTAGGGGGGTAAAGAGAGATCAACTCAACTCGTTTCATCACCCCACAACTGAAATGCTGCTAGATAAATGTTAAAACTGAAGTCTGTTTCGAATTAATGCACCTTATTTTATCACTTCATTACTGATTCGACTACTCGATTTTTAGAAAATAACTGGAAATTTAGAGGAAATAATGAAATTAGTGTAAGATTTTTTTTGTAGCTCTCATTTTACTCGTTAAAAAAATCATGAAATTTCCCCTATTTTTTTAGATTCAGAGATATTTATAAAAAATTTCAGTATTTATTCACCTCTAAAAATTATCTTCTTGAAAAACTCATTCTATTTCTTTTGACCCTAGCCTTCGGCCAAAGAATAATAAAAATGGTCCACACACCTAGTGAAAATTCCTCTGCCAGGAATTTCTTGCATTCTAAAATGTTTAGAAACTCAAGTTTGTTCAAAAAATTGTTAATTCAACTTCTTCTTTTGAATTCATAACTCTAAATTCAAGGAAGACAATGAAATTTTCATGAGAAACATTTTTGCAGCTTTCATTTCACTCTTTACAGAACTTCCAGAATGTTCTTTCGATTTAAAGATATCCATCAAGAATTGCACTAGTTATTTACCATTAATACTTACCTTTGACCCTAACGGGTTGATTATTATATTCCCCCAGAATTTAATAATCAAATTATTCAAAAACTCATTCAATTTCCCAAAATAATGAGAATGGTCCACATACCCAATGAAAATTTCCCTGCCAGGAATTTCTTGCATTCTAAAATATTTAGAATCTTCAGTTTGTTCAAAAAATTGTTAATTCTCAACTTCTTCGTTTGAATTCATAATGAAAATGAAATTTGAGAGATTTCTTTTTCACTATGAATTCTGAATGTCTTTCTTGAATTTAAATTTTTCATTCATATGAAAAATTTAAATTCAAGAAAGACAGTGAAATTTTCATGAAAAACATTTTTGTAGCGTTCAACATTTTTGTAACATTCAACTCTCAGAAAAAATCCCCATGAAAAAAAAACTAATTTAATTGTCTCCGCCCGCAGCCTTCGGCCAGAGGATAATAAAAATGGTCCACGTAACGTATTTCGGTGACAACGGCCGCCATAATTGGGTGAACGAGAACTCCTTAATGAAATTCGAGGGTCTGAAGCACTTCAACGATCTCGCAACGGAGCTGCTGAAAGGCAGAAAAAAGTGCACAAAATTCTACTCCGGCTTCGTAGTAAAAACCGTAATAAAACACAAATGGGACATAGCAGTGTCGGAAGCCGAGGTTCTCCTCCCAATGACGATCACCGAGAGATTCAAAGCGATAGCGCCGAAGCGAAAACGTGGACGTCCCCGACTATCCCAGGAGTCAGCAGCCAAACGCCCCCGCCTGGACGAATCCCTAATCCGAAAGAGCATAGACGATGACTTGGAGACGATAAAATCACGAACGAAATCCTTCGAGGACCCAAATTTGACGACCGAGACTCCCCCGACCCCTCCATCAAGCATCAAAGACTCGAGTGACGAGTCATCGACAGTGAGAAAACACAAGAGACGAAGGAGAACGAAAGCAGAGACCAACGAGGACTTTGAGAACTACTACAATCTCCACAAAGACAACAAGGGCTACGTGCCTGGTGGCAGTCAGGAGGAGATCAGACAGTACTTGAGGACAATGTGGGACGGGATGAGTGCATATTTACGTAGTAAATACAAGGCGACCCCCAATGGTCTCCACTCGAAGGAGAAATCCTCGAGCCCTGAGGAGGAGCCAGCCCCTGAGGAGTCCACCCCGAGGACTCGCAAGTCCAAAGGCTCCAAGGAGCAGGGCAAAGAGCAGGCCAAGGAGCTGAGCAAGGACCCCAAGGAGAAGTTGGACATCACCCTGGACCCAGTGAAACGTCCGAAGCTGATGAATCTCTTCAAGGGGGTGAAGGCAGAACGAGTCTGTCAGATCTGCGAGAAGACAGGGAATTTGACTCGCTGCAAGGGCCCTTGTTACTCATATTTCCACCTGAAGTGCGTCAAGCCTGGTGAGTCGGAGTCTGAGGGTGAGGCTGAGGACGACACGGCCGACAGTGAGTCGACAGGCAGTGGAGAGCCCCAGAAAAAATCCAAGGATGATAAGGATGATGTTGATGAGGAGAATTTCAAGTGTATTGATTGTCTCTCTGGGGTTGCTCCAGCTTGTTTTGTTTGCAATGAGAGGGAGGACGAGAGGATCAGGTGCTCAGTGGCCACATGTGGCAGGCACTATCACTCCAAGTGTCTCAAGATGTGGCCACAGTCACACTGGCATGGGGGACGACTCACCTGTCCCTATCACATGTGCCATACGTGCATATCGGATAATCCACAGAATCATCACACGAGAATTCCTAATGACAAGCTGGCCAGGTGTGTCAGGTGTCCTTCTGCTTATCATGCTAGTGTTCAGTGTCTACCGGCTGGGTCGCAGATACTTACCAGCACGCAGGTCATTTGTCCTAAGCATTATGTCGCTCCTCATCCTCCGTTGAATGCTGCCTGGTGCTTTCTCTGCACTAGGGGGGGCTCACTCATCTGTTGCGATACTTGTCCCACGTCGTTTCATCCAGAGTGTCTGGGGATTGATGCGCCTGATGGGGCTTTCATCTGTGAAGACTGCGAAACAGGTGGGTTTAGAATGAAAATCCAGTTTTTTTAGTATTCTTGTTTTGTAGAGACTTCAGGGGAATTTTTCAATGTTTTCGGAATTTTTTTTACATGAAATTCATTTTTTAATAATTGGCAAGATCACATGTTGATGAGGCCATTTATAATGAGAGATTTCAGGAGAAAATGAGTAGAGATATTTTTTTATTTTGAGATTTTCAATCACATTTTTTCATTCAATGAGAATTTTTTTTGATGATTCATGCACAGTGTCATTAAAATTATATTTTGTCGAGAATTCCTGTTTTTTAAAAATTATCTTCTTAATGTAAATAAAATCTAAGTAATAAAAATGAATTATTCAAAAAAATGAGAAACAAGTTATTCAATTAATTCCTCATATTAAAATTATTGAAACCCCTACAAACGGAAATTTTTTTCTCAAAAATCCTTGGATAATTAAAACTTCTCCCCTCAATCGCCCTCTGATCCGCTCACTCTTCGCTTCCCCAACAGGTAGACTCCCGCTCTACGGTGAAGTAGTCTGGGTGAAGCTCGGGAACTACCGATGGTGGCCATCTCGCATATGCTACCCCCAGGAGATTCCCTCGAACCTCGCAGCAGTCTCCCACAGTCCCGGTGAGTTCTGCGTCATGTTCCTGGGGACGAAGAACTACTACTGGGTGCACCGAGGTCGCGTCTTCCTCTACCAAGAAGGCGACACCTGCGCGCGAAACAGTATGGGTCGAAAAACAGTGGACGACGCCTACAAACAGGCAGTGGTAGAGGCCAACGAGCTCCACCAGCAAGTGAAGAACGAGAGAGTAGCTGCTAAAGAGGACGAATCCAAGAACCTGAAGCCCCCTCCCTACGTGAAAATTCGTGTCAACAAGCCAGTTGGCAACGTAAAACCAATGGAGATGGAGGTGGACGTTGCCTGTGAGTGTGACGCCAAGTGGGAGCACCCCTGCTCCCCAGACAGTGACTGCCTCAACCGAATTCTCTCGATCGAGTGCAATCCAACAATCTGTCCAGCAGGCTCCAAATGCAATAATCAGTCCTTCGTGAGAAGGAAGTATCCCCTGATGGAGCCATTCCACACTGCTGGTCGTGGATGGGGTCTTAAGACCCTGGAGGCGATAAAAGCTGGACAATTTGTCGTCGAATACGTTGGAGAAGTGATCGATGAGGCTGAGTACAAGAGAAGGTTGCACAGAAAAAAGGAATTGAGAAATGAGAACTACTACTTCCTGACGATCGACAACTACAGGACAATTGACGCTGAGCCCAAGGGGAACCTCAGTAGATTCATGAATCACTCGTGTCAGCCCAATTGCGAGACCCAGAAGTGGACAGTCAATGGGGACACGAGGATTGGGCTGTTTGCCCTGAAGGACATCGAGCAGGGAGAGGAGCTCACCTTCAACTACAATCTTGCCACTGAGGGGGAGACGAAGAAGCCCTGTCTCTGTGGTGCCTCCAATTGCTCTGGGTACATTGGGCTCAAGGCGCAGAAGCCCCAGCTGAGTCCAGCTGATCAAGTCGTTCAGGAGCCCAAGGTCGAGCCTGAGAAGGTGAAGAAACAGAGGAGATCCAAGAAGATTTACAAGTGCTGGACATGTGGGGATGTTGTGGCTGGGGATAAGTTCATCGAGTGTGGAATGAAGTCTTGCCCCAAGAGGTATCACGCCAAGTGTGTGAAGAAGGGACAGGTGGGGAGGTTTAGGTGTCCCTGGCATCACTGCGTCGACTGCGAGAAGAGGACTTCACTCAGGTGTTTGTTATGCAGCGCTGCTTATTGTCAGAATCACCTCGAGGGGAAGATGATTGAGTGGAAGGACAAGAATGGGTATCTTTGTAAGGTCCATGAGAATTCTATGGGGGAGAGTGGGAGGGAGAGCCTGGGGGAGGCTCAGGGGGAGAGTGAAACGCCGGATGATAATTCAGAGGTTAATTCTGGGGAGGCTGAAGGCGCTGCAGGGAATCCTGGAACACCTGGGGACACGACGGATGTGTTGAGTGAAGAAACTCCTGAAGGATCTCCTGTGAAAGAGGGTGAGAAAGAGGCTGAGAAGGAGGCTGAGGGTACTCCGGGGGAAGCTGAGGATCCTCCTGAGAAAAATGGGGAAGATCCTGGTGATAAAGGATGTGGAGAGCCAGAGGGGGATGCGAGTCCTGTAGAAAATAGTAAAGATAAACCAGGGGATGATGCCAGTGGTCCCCAGGTTGTGGAGGTCGGAGAGGATGGAGGCAGTGGGGATACGGTTGAGAAGGAGCAGGAGGGTCAGGGGGTTGAGGTCAAGGAGGAGGAGAAGGCGGAGAAGGAGGAGGTGAAGGAGAGGGAGGAGGTGAAGGAGACGGAGGAGGTGAAGGAGAAGGAGGAGGTGATGGAGAAGGAGGAGGTGAAGGAGAGAGAGGAGGTGAAGGAGAAGGAGGAGGTGAAGGAGAGGGAGGAGGTGAAGGAGAAGGAAGAGGATGACGTCATGGAGGTGGAGGATGACCCCACGGATGAGGTGGTATCGATACCTGAGACGAAGGTTGACTCTGATGAGGACTTTGACACAGCCTCGTTATTGGCTGACTCTGATGGCTCAATTAATGAGGAGGATGTCATTCCCCCTAGGGTTTCCATTATTCAGGTAAACAAAAAAATATTAATGAACAGTCTCTCGTTTTATGCATAAATAATGAAGAGAGATTAAATGATGATTTTTGTGCAGATCGACTTGAGTGATGAAGACGATATCAAGCATGAGCATGAGATCGATATAACACCAGAGGACGAAGATATCGATGGAACGGATGTAAACGAAGAGGACATTGTGCCAGTTTCCGTGAAGAGAAGGAAGACGTTGAGAAATCACCAGACACATCGAATAATCGGTGGAGTGGTGCCATCCTGAATAAACTGCCCTGAACGTAATTCATAAGGTATCAATAAAATAATTTCTCAGTCGAAATCATGATGTACTGTTGATGATCAATAATTAATAGCTAGATTTATTCGTATTTTTGCCTGAATTTTTGCCCAAAATGAATTATTTTCGTTGATCCACGATTTCGACGTCAATTTGATGTACATACCTCTTATTTATACATTATGATTGAATATGTTGTCGATTATTTTAAGGTTTATGCATAATTTAGTTATTATTCAATTGATGAAACTGTGAATTTTAGGGTCTAAGGGACAAATCAGTCTCGAGGCGATTAATAAGACAACTTTTTTTATACCAATTAGTATTATTGTAGTGGTTTTAGTCAGTTAATGTAGTAGGGAAAACGAAATCGATTTTCAATACACAATTTTGGAGAATAAAAGAATTTTATCTTAAAATTATAATTTCGGAAGATATTTTTTAAAAACCTCCTCTACTTGTTCAATAAAAAGTATGTTTATCTTTCAAATGAGTGATTTATTGTATAATATTATGTACACGAGTGTAATTAAAAATTTAATTAATAATACATTATAAGCTTCATTAATAAATAATTAAGAAATTAATGCATCAATCACAATAATTCTGCACTCACAGAATCACAATAAAATCCTTCGAAAAATCGGATAATACATTTTGTACGAGAACGGAGTAGTTTAATACTAATAAACAAAAAATGAACAGATACAATCAACTTGATTGTTATGGACTACAGGAATTGTAGTAAACACGAGTACCCTAAGGTTTATATAAATATATATAATATATTTTACAGCCGTCTTACAGATCTCGAAATTCTTTGAATTCTTATGTTCATTTTTGGAAGTCCAGAGGGATTTTTCAGGTTGATATCAAATTTACAATTGGGGGGAATATTTTGCGCGATTTTCATTCGTCTAATGATATTTTCCCTTCATTCATTCGATATCTGGTCTCAATTCTTGATTTTTTAGAGCAAATTGGATCGATTAACGAATTCAGAGAGATTTTTTAAAATTATTTCTGCATTTCTTGGCATTATTTTTGGATTAGTTAATGCTAAATAATCTCAATAGCTTTTCCCTTTCATTTCTCAACCACTGGAGGAAGTGTCACTTTGAAAGGTCGAATGAAATAAAAATTTTTTCATTGCGATGAAGACAACAAATTGTATTATGACGTCATAATGTCTATTTTTATGAGAAGATATTTGTCACATTTTGCATTTGAAAAATCTATTAGTTTTTAGCCGATTCTGCTGAAGAATTTCGCAGTTTTACTCTGCGTTTTTTAATGAAAAATCCCTAATGGAAACTATCTTATTGAAAAAATCGATATAATTTCATTTTTTTGTGCAACTTTTTTTTCTATCGAGGCATTTTCAATATACAAGAATTCCTCGACAGAATTTTCTGCATTTTTCCCTCAATTTCTCCTCTTTTTTCATTAAAAAACAATGAAATAAGAAATAGGAACTTCGAACCGACGAATTCCTACAGAAAATATTTCAATAGAATAAGCTGAACAGAAAGATCAAATTATATAGATTTTCCCTACACAATATTTTCCATTGAATAATTTTTCGCACATGAAATCCCCTGAACGAATTCTTTCCACTGAACTCCATCATCAGACGAATGATCTCCAAAAAAGTCACCCCTCAGCAGTTATCCCTGCCATAATTCTGATACAACCTCGGACTCTCGTGAGCGTCAGGGCTCCTATCAGTGGAGACAGTCACCTCCGAGTTGGAGGGGGAGATAGTCTCCTCCCCTATGCAATTCCCATACTTCTTCCTCAACACTGGAGCGACAAAGTTCTGGCCAGTCGACAGATCCCTCTTCGGGGGTTGAACCTTGGGTTTAGAGGCAGGCAGAGTGGCTCCAGTGACGAGTCCCAGGACACTAGCAGCGAGACCACTCAACTGCAGGGCAGCGAGTGGAGACAATCCCCTCCTGACGAGTCCCAGGGCCAGCAAAGTCGTCTGAGCAATTATGGGGGCAGCCCCAGCAGCTCCAGCAGCTGCACTAGCCAGTTGTCCCCCTCCCACACTGGGTCCATACGCAAAGCACAAGTTGTGTCGATCTACCACGTGCTTCACAAGCATGTAAATAAGGGCAAAAGGTGTGATGAGGGGACAACTCACACTGTAGACTGTCGTCATTGTGAACACAAGAAGCACCCAGGCGTAGTGAGCCCCCAGGGGGAACTCCCAGAGTACTGCCTTCCTCACGTGAACCCTCTCAGCTCGACTCCTAGCGATGCACAATCTGAAAGGGAACATTTTACGATGAGGCTATTTAATTCTAGACATGTGCCGAGAAATTTCATTGAAAACATAATGCATTTGTTAGAGATGTGCCACAGAATATTCCACTGTATAAATCAGGTATTTATCGACTCAGCATCGTATTAAAACACGAGACCGTTTTCTAAGACGATTTGAGGCGAGTGTGCCACGGTTTTTGTTAAAAACCGAGAACACACTGGACTCGGGGGTTTATTGTCGACTGAGTTAATTTTCAGGTCACTTTTTAAATTATTTATTCTTTTGTATCAAAGTAAACCGTTTCAGTTAGGAAATTAATAAACCAAAGTATCTTAAATTCCTGAGATTCAGGCCATAATACTCGACCATTCTACTGTACATTACAGAGAATTCTGTTGTTATTTCCCCCCTGCACCGGGGCTATGTATTCTATATGCAGAAATAAATAATAATAATCTTGTTTCATTTTCATGCACATTATGTGCTATACGTTATGAGTCCCATTATCGGCTGACGCTGTCGTAGTGGTGGTTCCCGTCACGTGGGACGGGAATTGATGGGATGTGATTAGTAAGTTTTTTTTTTTTCGTACTCTGAAATAAAAAAAGAATTAATAAATAGAAATGACGAATCACCAACCTAAAAGTGTACAAAGCCAGTTCGGAGAATCGAACGAGCTCCAGGGCGCAGCCCAGTAGTGAAGCTGTGATTACATAGTTGACGAAGAATGCCCCCTGATCAGCCAGGAAGACACACTCCCATCGGCTGGTCTGATTCCACAGGCCAGCCTTGAAATCAAGGATTGCTTGGGCACTGGTCAGCCCAAGGCTCGGTAAAATCAACACCATCAGGAGGAGCAGCATCAGGGTCTTCCTGAGGACAGCCCTGTTCAATCCACTCCTCGTCCAGTGTCTCACCATGGCCTCGCACCTCCCCACGAGGGCTGGCATGAGGGCAGCAATGCTGACGAGTAAAACTGTTGGGAGGAAGGAGGAGAGGACTGGACTGAGGCTCATGAGCTTCGGGAAGATTGGGATTTTATTGAGAATGGAGACTATGTAGACTGGGGTTGTCAGGAAGAAGAGAGTTATCCCGAGGGCGAAATTGATGAGGACTGCGTTGAGGTACCAGCAGGGCCTGGGGATGCAGAGGTTCTCCCAGAAGATGTCGGAGGGGGCCGGGGCGTAGTCCACGATCCACTTGATGGCAGGGGCTGAGCGGAGGGATCTGCGCATGGTTCTCGCAGCCCCCGGGGTCCCCAGGGTCACGAACGCCACGCCGAGGGGTTGAGAGAGGGCCACTTTGCGCTCCTCCTCGACGAGGGCTGTCAAGCGAATTTCTTCGGTTGTGTAGAACTCTAGGGCGTCGACGGTTTTGCAGCAACAGCCGATTATCTGGAATCAGGGGTCGGCAATAATAAAATTTGTTTGGAACTCGATTTCTAGTTTTTTTAGAAACAGCAACAATACAAGTGTTCAATGGAGATTAATCTATAGAAGAAAATCAATAGACACTCGATTTTCTGTACAACTTATTCTACTGAGATATTCTCCACAAAAATCTGTCATTTCGATTTTTTCAAGACGGATTGTTCGATTTTTTAATGAAACAAGAGAAAAATAGAGTGGAAAAAACTTGAGAAATTCATGTAGAGGCATTTCTATAGAAAATGTATCAATGGCAGTTCAATAGAAATTCAACAGAGTTTTCTAAATTCTTTCGTTTATTTTTCAAATGAAAAGAGAAGAAAAATTGAGTGAAAAAACTTGAGAATTTCATGTCGAGGAATTTCTATAGAAAATGTATTAATAAAAAAGTTATACAGAACGATCGAATTCTACTGATTTTTCCATAAAATAGAATAGTTAAAAAAAATAGTTTTTATAACAGCAAATAGTTTTAAGAAATAGTTTTTAATAACTTTTATTGTTTTTATAGTTTGTGTTGGGCATTTTGTATCGAAAAACGCGCAGTGAAGCTGCAGAATTCTTCAATAGAATCTCTCAAAGAACGAATTTAAAAATTGATGCCCAATCGGTACAGAAAAATAAAAATCTTTTTCATCTTTTTCTATGAAAATGGTATAATATTCCAATTTTTTTTTCTATTAAATTTTTTCACACGTTCAAGAATTTCAAAAAATGTCCGACCTGTCCACAGGGGTAGGGATATAGGTTCAAGGGCTCTTTCTTCTTGTTATAACTCTCGCAATAGAGTCTCGCCTGCTCCGCGCAGTCTCTCTCAGCATTTAAGGCCGAAAGTCTGCGAATGTCATGAGCCAACGTGACGTTCTCCACACTCAGCGTGGGGAATGCCTCCTGGAAGTACCTAGTGAGGCCCTCCACGTTGCACTGGTGCTTGGGTATTCCACTGATGAGGAGAGTTCTAGCTGCCAGTTCCCCCGAGGGACGAGCGTCTCGCACCTGCTTTATGAAGCGTCGCATTACGTAGCTGCCGATGGGCAGGTACGACAGGACGATTATCGTGTGCATCCAGATCCAGGAGGACGTGGGGTCGAGATTCGAGAGGGTCGTGTGACTGAACGTCTCGTTGGAGTCTCGCATTGTGCCGGAGTAGTTTATTGGAAGTGCCACGCAGAGGGAGACGACTGTCATCATGGCTGTGAGGATTATCATGTGACGCTGGAAGGAGATGTACAGGAGGCCATCGGGACCTGCACGACGGAAGAGCTCCTTGTCACTGCAAGTGAATGTGAAAAATTTTTTTGTCATTCAGGGAATTAATACAATTCCCTGAATTCATTCAGGGAATTGAAACGATTCTTGGAGGCATTGCTCAATAGTGAAGATATGAATTAATTAGGGAATGATAATAATAATAGCTAATTAATTTGTAATTAGGGAATTTTTGCATATTTGTGAATTGTGAAATTATGTAGGAAATTGGGGTATTCACGCACAAGAAAATATCCAGTAAATTCGGGTTCACATTGATTAAGGTTCAAATATATTCATCAAAATTTTAAAATAGTAAAATATTTGATAATGTAAATTTTCGATTGTGTGAATAATACTAAATTTCATAGGCGATTTTCGATTAATCAAATAATCGTTAATGTTCCTAATTAAATTATTGATTGATAAAGTAATTCGGAATTTGAATCTTTAAATTGATGATTACTTCAATAATTAAATATTTAAGAGTGATATTAACGAATCAACTGCTTCAAAATTTAACGGTAATTATAATTTATGAATATGGCTATCCCTGTTGAAATTTCTGTTAGTTCCTGGCCGATTCTATTGAAAAATTCTCCAGCTTTACTTCCCACTAGTTTAACAGAAAAATTAGTAGAATTCCATCTTTCTCTACAACTTTTTTTATTGTCACAATTTCTAGAAGAATTTTTCGACTTGAAATTTCCATATTTTTTCATTCCATTTTTCTCCCATTTTCATTGAAGGGATCAAACAAAAAACTTGGGAAATTGCAAAGAAAAATCAAATTTTATTGAATATTATAAATCGAGAATTCCTAAAATTCAATAAAATTTCTAGCGAATTCTTGATTTTTCAATGAAATTTTTTCATACGTGATTCGGGAGAAATGTCAATTTTTTTTTCAAAAAAATGTAAATATAAACAACTTGTATTATTTTATTGTAACGTTTTACCACTTCCCCAGCGATTTCATTCATCAATATTTTTAAAACACCTCATCATCTCTATTACTCACGTGACTCTAAACGCCGTAACAATCCACGAGAAGCAGCCCCTGTCAATCTGTGATAATTGTGTATTAATCGACGCCTCTACAGCCGTCACATCGGTCTCAATGCCATCATTATCTCCATAAAACAGTTCCATCCATCTGTTATCAGTTTTATGGAGAAGAGCGAGTCTTCCATAGTTCCATGCTTTCTTCCTGAGCAATCCGAACAGTATCACTAAACTCTGAAGAGAAAATTTCCACTCATCAATTCGGAAATAAAAAATTCTTGAAATTTCAATTTAAAGATCTGGGGATTTTTCATAACGACTAGTTTACAGGAATTTTTTAGACATTATTATTGACAAATTATTTTTTTCTAAGAAATTAAATTAGAATTTTATTGAAATTCTATCAAATATCCTCTTTATTTTTGTAATGATTTTCACAGAAAATTATGCGCCCTTTGTGTGCATTTTTCACTAGATTTAAGGATAAGAACTCAATAAATTTCAATTAAAAAAAAATGCTGAGAATTATTGGGCATGAATTCTCGTTTTCATTCCAGGATTCAGCAATAAAATCTCAAGAGAATAATTCCCCTGGAAGAATAAAAAAGAACGTAATTCTTTTCTCACAAAAATTCTTCCCAAAAAATCGAAAAAAAAAATAGAATAATTCAAACAGTGAAAAAAAATAAAACTCTAACAGCTCCAACCGAATTCCTTGGAAGAATCCCTAGGTTGTTTTATCAAAATTTTTCACAAGTAATTACCCAAACCATTCAACTTCAAATTAACCTGTAATTCACAACCTTGAGAATTGATTTCCAGCAATTACTCAAATCCCCGGAAATTTCAGACAGTGTATAGAGATCATGAAGGCCATAATCGTACCAAAAAACCTATCAAATTGAGAAGTAGATTCGCTGGGATGCCAGCGTAAACATCAGGTATGATAGTCACATTGTGCCTGGGTACAGTGATGCATGTAGCTGATGAAGGTGGCTCGTAATAACTACCGCTACAACAATAAACACCCCGTGAATAAATAAAAAAAATCAGCAACGGATTTCACTGTGAGTCATGATTGCCCCACAGTAGTGAAAGTTATTTTGATATTTCCAAAGCAGTAATGACGAATAACTGATGATTAACGAACGATATCACGATTACTCACTTGTTGAAATCCTCCCAAGGCATTTTGCAGTAATTCAATTGTTAATTTATACAACGTCACTGCACGACGACAGCATGCTATGTAAAAACATGCGTCAACTTGACATATTGTTCAAGAGACTTATTCTCTACGTCTTTATTGTTAGCTTTTTGCAACACTACTCACACCAGTCTATATTCCCCCAAATATTTCATCTAACCTAATTTGACAGACATTTCTAGAGGCACTGGGCGTGCGCACAACGCAAAGTGCTTGGCGGAGGGGGGAGACAGTTCAAATAAAGAGGATCGTAAAGAGGAGTGACACGTGTATAAAAAATTGAATTGAATATGTAGCACACTCGGTAGATAATTCTATTTGTTTTTGTATGGGGAAATGAATAATTCGGTTTCTGATGATGATTAGTTTATCGATACGGGAAGTTATCTTTTTTTTTTATACTGGAGCTATTGTAGAACACGCACGAAAAATTTCACACAACAATTGAGTGATTTTGATAGATAGTTATAGTGGATTCCTATTGAACTTTTGAGAATTCTTTATTTTTCGGACGATTCTGTTGAAGAATTCGGCAGCTTTATTGCGTTTTTTTCATTGAAAATGTATATAATAAAATGTATTTTTTTTTCTCTTCATAAAAAAAAACAAATGAAATAAATTGGAAAACTTCAGCCTACAAATTTCAATGGAAATTATTTCAATAGAATAAGTTGTGCAGAAAACTAGAATTTCATTGATTTTTTTCTGTAGAATATTTTCCATTAAACATTTCTGTTGAAAAAATGTGCAGATAAACTGCGGAATTTTTCAACAAAATCGTCCAAAAACTGATAAAAAGTTGAATAGAAATCTAATAGAATTTTCTAGCAAGTTCGCTAGATTATTCTACGAAATTTTTTGATTCGTGAATTACTTTCTCGTACTGTGAAGGCTGGGGGCTGAAAGCCTGCCACTTTGTAGATTATATCGGTTTCACAAAAATGAAAAATGTGCTGAAATAATTATATCATTTTTATTATGTATCATTTTCCAGACGATATCCAATAAAAAAAGCCAATAGATGTTGATTTCTCCCCATATTCTTACATGAAATTATCTCATTCTGTTATTTCACAATGAACAATAAAAAAAAATGCCGAAAAAATGTTCACTTAAATGATTCATGACAAAATAAAAAATCTATTGGCTCTTTCTACGAAATATCTGTCGATAAATTCCTCAGAATTAAAATACTCATAGAAAAACGAACATACGCCGATTGTATTTCATCACCACAAATCTCCATATCGTATGCTTACAATGTAAAAGCAATATAAAATCGATGTATTCAATGATAATTACAAAGACCCTGAGGTCCAACATTGATGAAAAAATATCTCTGACTGTATATAATCGATAACGACTTAATTATCTTGATCAGCGAACTCTTGACTCGCAAGAGCGTAAAAATACGAATCCTCATCCTCGATGAGTACATTTGGCTCGTCAAACTCCAATACTTGACCGTCTCCCATCACCAATACCCTGTAACAGCCGCAAAACAATAGTTTTTTGAAAACATTTCCGTCTTATAAACAAGTTATGATAATTGTTCAATTTTTTATTCTAGACTCTCTATTTATTTTTTATTTTAAAAGTGGTTCAAACTAAATTTAGACCTCGAATGTTCAATTCATCAGGGGATTTCTTCATTCTCTTGAAGTAAAGTTCATTTCAACCTGAACTCATTAAAGTTGACAATGAATTTTACTCGACGAGACACTCCATTCCAGTAAAGCCTCTGATGCTATTTCGCACTGATGTTAAATTTGTCTTTTCATTGGTTTCGACAGACCAAGAAGTTTCGAGGCCTAAACAAAACGATACAAATTTCTATTGATTTCAAATTACACGAGTTTGGAATTCCCAGCAGCCATTAGCCATTCCCATTAGCCTTATTTCGGGTGTACGGTACCCGAGGCATTTTGCCATCAATTGTCTTCAATAGTTCATTATTAATCCAGATGAAAATTACTGGACGAATATTATTCTCCAAACATTCAATTCCGTTTCCCTCTATTTTATAATGTTTATTTTCTTCGACAAAACCGCCATATATAAAGAGCTTATCCGGAAACCCTATAAATTATTCGTCCCAGCCTCAATTAGCATTTGAATAATTTAAGGCGCCCGAAAGGGACTTGAAGAATTCCTATTTTTATACTGTCCTCTCTTATTATTGACCGTCCAGATATGGCACACGCCTCTCACGCACTAATTATCACAAATTATTATTACCACATTTGTGCTACCTCATGTATTACAACACGATGATAGAGTGCATCAAAGGGATGATGATTTTCGTTTTAAATTTTTTGCAACAGAAAATTCAACTTGAAAAAAATCCCCAGCGTAAAATTTTTGCTTCTCAATTAGGTCGGTCCTAATTTTTTCCGAATTAATTTCCCCTGAAATGAATCTATTAAAAAATAGGTGAAACATTTTCGACTAACAATCTATTTCGTCAAGCTTATGCTGGACTTGGGAATATTTCAAGTTTACCTTAAAAGATTTACATTAAAAAATCATTACTCATAACAATTATTCAAATTATTCAAACGAAAAAACACAAATTAACTAAAAAAAATAATAATAAATCTTACTTCATTTATTCTTGGGAAAAAAAATAGTGAACAAGAAATTTTGATCCACGTGTTTGTCGAAAAAGATTCAATTTTTTCACACTAAAATCTAAACGCAATGAGAGCGAATATGAACTCCTTTTTATAAATAATATGCATAAACCACTAGCCAATGCGCATCGCACTTCGCAGTTCCCCAAAAAATCGTTGACTAAAAAATATTAAAAAATGAAAAAAAAAACTCACCTATCACAGTGCATAATGGTCCTAATCCTATGCGCAATGGTAATAACCGTGGCGCTCCTGAAGGAAGACTTAATAGTATTCTGAATAGCCTTATCAGTCTCCAGATCAACATTGGCAGTGGCCTCATCGATGCACAGAATCCTCGCATTATGCAAAATAGCCCTGACGAGACAGAAAAGTTGTTTCTGCCCAGTGCTAAGATTCCCCCCGGCCTCATCAATGCTGGCCCCCAGTCCGCCAAGCCTCTGCACCAAAGAGCTCAACTTGCACTTCTCCAAGGCCTGAAAGATCTGCATATCCGGATACTGCCCAAGCGGATCAACATTCTCCCTCACCGTCCCCGAGAACAAGAACGGGTTCTGCGGTATGATGCAGAGCCTCGCCCTGAGGGCATTGAGCTGAAGCCCCCTCACATTAACATTGTCAATGAGTATTTCCCCAGAATCAATCTCCACAAGTCTAAACAGACAATTGAAAATAGAGCTCTTGCCGGCGCCAGTCCTCCCGACAACCCCAATCTTCTCAGCGGGTCTGGTCCTGAAGGAGACCCTATTCAGCGAGGGCATCAAATAGTCCCTGTACCTCAGCACAACATTCCTAAACTCCACAACACTCTGACTGGGCCAGGCATAAGGTGGGTTGTCCCCACAGATCTCCTCAGTGGGCACATCCTCAAAATACTGTTTGATCCTCTCCACAGAGATCATCTCCCTCTCGGTCTCCGTGAAGACATTGACAACCCCGGACAACAGGCCAGTGACCCCAAGAGCATAAGTGATGGCGAGGCCGATGAGCCCAGGATCAGCGACATCGAACTGATGCTGAATGACCGCGAGAAGACAGACACCGGCTAGCAGCGCCACCCCAATGAACTGAAGCCTGAGGGCGAGCCACTGGGCGGCGGCCACCGACGCAAACATGGCCTTCTGACTGGCCTCGAGAAACAGTTCGTTATCATGCTTGAACCTGGGAACAACCCTGAACGCCCGTATGACACTCAAGCCCTGAAGGGTCTCATTGAAATGCGTGTAGAGAGGAGACAGTGAAGTGCTTGAGAGTCTCTTCAGCTCCCTCGAGGTCAGTCTGTAGTGATGCTGGAGCCAGTGATACACTGGAACGAGTGGAGCGAGGACCAAAAATATCCAGGGGAGTCCATAAGCCGTGATGATGACAGTCCCCAACAGAGCGAACACCTGAGCGAAAAGGATATTCGAGATGAAGGGTAGCGAGTCGTCGACGGTATACGTGTCCGAGGAGAACCTGTTCAAGATCCTCCCGATGGACTGAGAATCAAAGAACACCTTCTTCGCCCTCAGCACAATCCCCAAAAGGTGTTCATGCATGACAATGGCAGCATGAACGCCCCCGTAAGCGAACATGAAGGCTCTGATGAATGTGAAGATGGTGTTGATGACAGCGAGAATAGCGTAGACAGCCAAGTAGTTTCCGGGGGTGTCCCTCCTGAGAGCCGCTTCGAGTTTGATCGTAAAAGGAAGAACCGTAGAGTTGCTGATGCTCGCGTTGACATGGGTCACCCAGAAGGAGAGCCACAGATCGCTGACGTTCTTGGAAGACTGCATCAAGATCATCGCCAGGAATATGCAGATCGCTAGGAACCTCCCAACGGCGTTCAGATAGGTCCCATAAACCCCAAGCCGCACAGTCCCCCTCTCCACCACTTCCTCATCGAGCATGGGATCCCTGTCAACCTCATTCAGATTGATGGATTCGTCGTTGGGCAAGTCCTTCGGCGATTTGCTCTCCCTGCTGTACTCCGTGGAATTCGACGACAGCAAGTAATCCTCGAGGTCTGGCAGGATCTCAGTGGGCAGCCCCTGCTTGACGATCCTCCCCTTGGACATCTCCACGACGCAATCAGCATGGATCAAGAACTGCGTCTGATGTGTGCAGACAATCCTCGTCTTCTCCTTCAACATCCCAAGAACAACATTCTGAAATATGTGCTTGGCGACCTTCGTATCCAAAGTAGCTAAAATATCATCGAGAAGGTATATGTTCTTGTCCGCGTAGACAGCCCGAGCCAGAGAAATCCTCGTCTTCTGTCCTGCACTAAGGGTGCTCCCAGCCTCGCCAACAGCTGTCAAATCCTTCTTCGGTAACGACACCAGATCGTCGTCAAGAGCACAAGCTTTGAGAACACTCCTGTATTTATTGTAATCGTACGCCTTTCCGAAGAGGATGTTCTCACGGATGGTTCCACGCTGGAGCCAGGGGGTCTGTCTGACGTAGGCGAAGCCCTTATCAAGTTCACTGACGGCCACAATCCCATTCAGCTTGGTAATCTCAGCAAGAATGCCGTCCAGAAAGAGGGACTTCCCCCCTCCGACCTTTCCCATAATTCCTATCAGCTGTCCCCTCTTCGCTTGAAGAGTCAGCTCCCTTAGACTGAAGACCCTATCCCTCTCAAAGGACACTGACTTCTTCGACGGTGTCGATTCCAAAACCGCCGTCGACGTCGACGGCATCGGGAGGATTTCATCGAGATTCTCCAAGGAATTCTCCTCCCGAATGCCCTCCTCCTTCGCGTCATTCGCAGTGAACGACGCGTTTTTCAGCATTATGTCGTACCCGATGGGCGGATCCGAGTAGTAAGTCGACACGTCGAGGTCGGTGAGGTCCAAAAGCCTCTGGATCCTCTTCACAGAGACCCAGGCCTCAGTCAACCCATTCAAAACCCACGGGAAGGCGTTAAGCGGCCCTATCAGCATGTTTAGTAGAGCCATACTCGTGAAAACAGTTTTGGCAGTTAGGGGATTCCCCGCGAGCACGTACGTCCCGAAGGTTAGTATCGATATTAACACGGGGGTAGTTGCCCAAAAGTACACACAGAGGGCGTCGAGGTACTTCCGCCCGCGGAGATACTTGATCTCCCCCTCCCTGAGCGTCGCGATTTCCCGGAGGAAGTGCTCCTCCCAGACATTCAACTTGATGGTCGTTATTCCCCGGAGGATCTCCCCCATGAGGCGCACCCTCTGATCCTTGAACCCCATCATCTTTGTGCTCAAAACCCCAATCTTATTGGCAATGAACTTATTAATCGGAATCAGAATAACAGCGAATGCCAATCCCGCGAGGAAAGAAAGCCCAATCTGATTGTAAAGAAGATAAAGCGTCACGACCAACTGCAGAGGAATGCTCCAGAAGGTGTGAAAGCTGGGGCAACTGTTGACGATTCTGTCGCTGTCAGTGCTCATGAAGTTGACGATTTCCCCGAACGTGAATTCCTGGTTCAACCTGACATTTGAGGAGTGAAGGGTCTTCTTGTAGACAAGAGTGACGACAGTGCTCCTTATTTTGAGTCCCACGATGCTCATCCAGAAGGTGAAGTGGGCGATGGCGAAGGCCCCGATGAGGGTCGCGAGAAACATCAGGGATGCGTAAAGGTATCCGTAGGCCAGCGGTTTGTCCTTGTCCTCGATGAAGCCGACCATTTTGTTCAGGAGGATGGGGCCGACGAAGCCGGAGCAGTCAGCTATGAACTTGAGGATTCCGACGGCGTAGAACTGCCAGCCGAAGCACCTGTGGAGCAGCCGGAGGAGGGAGATGTTGTTGCTGGGGGGAGACGTTTGGTCCCGATCAGGATCGACGTAGACGCTTGACCTGGGGGGCTTCCTGATGAACCTGTCGATCTCGCAGTTGATGGAGGCGGTGCTCACGTGCTCCGGCAGGTCGTACAGGTCGTCGGCGTGCTTGAGGGAGCCTCTCACCCCCTTCTCCATCATGGGGGTCACCCAGTGGAAGAGGAGCCTCGAGAGAAATGGGTTGCCTTCCATGGCGGTCCCCAGGTAGTTCGGGTCTTGGTCCTCGAGGAAGTGAATGTAGGAGTGGCCTGGGGAGTTTAGGAGGGCTGTGTTCTCACCGATCTCTGTGTACCTCGAGCCCCTTTGACGAGGATTTTCGTTGGGGGTTGGGAGCAGGGTCAGGGCGTAGAGGCACATCAGGGCGACGACTGTTATGCTGAAGCCCAGGGAGAGGTTGGGTAGGACGTCGTTGGATGGGGAATGCTTGATGTGGGTGCTTAGGAGGAGGGCGGATATGCCGATCAGCATGAAGATGAGGGCTCTGATGACGACGGGCCCTCGCAGGCTGAACCTCGTGCCTCGGCGGAGGCTCAGGACGAAGCAGAGGTGCATCATCCAGGCTAGGCCCTCGGTGCCGGCCACTAGGTAGTCGATGGGCTTCGCTGAGGTCTCCTCGTTGGAGATCTCAGGGGAGTCGAGGAGGGGGTTTGCGCGCTGGAGGGGGGAGAGAGGGGAGGTGAGGTTCCGCGGGGAGGGGAGCGTTGTGTCTGAGAGGATTATGTACGCACGGATTATGGGGAGAATCGCCAGACAGGCGGTTATGAGGAGGCGGAGGGTGAGCGCGTAGTGCGAGAAGCGCTCGTAGGGGGCTAGGGTCGTTCTTCTGCCGCAGTAGTAGGCCGAGGCGATCGCGAGGAGACCCAAGGTTGGAATCTGCGGGTTGCAGGGGAGAGGTGTTAGATGGTGGCTATGGGGGTGATTGACTAACACGCGCGAAAAAATTCACGGCAAAATGGAGCGAATAGGAGTGTTGAAAATTCTATTGGGTTGCTACTGAACTTCTGGAAATTTTACTAGTTTTCGATTGATTCTATCTAACAACGCGCTTTTTTAAACGTTCATTGAAAATTGAATTCGATTTTTCCTGTAGAACAGTTGTCATTTAAGAGTTCTATTGACAAAAGGACACATAAGCTGCGAAACTTTTCAATAGAATCAGGAAAAAACTTATAGAAAGATTGAGAGGGTAAAAGCATTTTCTACCGCATTTGCTGGGTTTTTCTATGAAATTTTTTCGTACGTGAAAATTTTTGGAATATAAGTTAAAACAAACGCTGACGAAGAGATTTAGAAAATTGTGGAGTTGACTGAATTATTCATTTTGATACTTAAGATTATTTAAAATTATTTGTCGTGTTTTATTGCTTCTTTAAGCGCATAGAAAAATTCGCGGGGAGAAAGGAAAATTTCCAGCTTTTGCTTGGGGGATTTTATTGAAATTTTACTAAAATTTTATGAGAATTCAATGGCTTTGAAAAATGAATGGATTTTTATTTTCTTATGTAAATTTTTTCTTGGGAGTTTTTAAATAGAAATCCTTGGGTATAAATTTGTTATACATGTTTACTATTTCTATTTTTTTTCTGCTGTATTTTTCTTCTTTCTCATAAAAAATCCAAGAAAAAAAGCCAAAAAATCTATTGATTTTGTTTCTATCAAAAAAACGCATGACAAAATTGCATGATTTTCAACAGAAATTGCAAAAAAAACAGATAAAAATTCAGATAGAATTTTTTTAGAATTTCAATAGGACTATAAAATCTCGGTAAAAAAATTAACAGAATTTCCTAGTAAATCTCCAACATTATAGATTTGATCATCAATTAAAAATTTCGAAACAACAATGAAAAAAACTCTAGAATAATAAATTCTTGAGCTAAATTTCCGGATAAATTCAAAGACATTCCCAGCCAGACCGACAAAATTTAAAATAGCTTCACTGATTAATTCCAGCCCCCAAAAAATGTCAAAAATCAGTTTCCCACAATAACTCCTAAATTCACTTACTGCCTAAAAAACCAAGAAACAAGCTATTCTACCTGAAGATAGAGCTGCTGGAAGCACAACCCGAGATCGTTAGTGTCAGGATTCAGAGGTCTTATGCTCCCTCGTACCCCGCACAATTGTGTCCAGTTCCATGCCCACCGCTCTTGTCCCGGAAGCTCAATATCGCTCATTCTTACTCCCCTCTAAAACCCAAAAACAATTCATCTCCATAAATCACCCACAATCCTTCGCCCACCAATACAAAACCGAAATAAATTGCAAAAAAATCAAAATTTCCCACTTACATTCAACAATCACATTTCACGTCAGTCCCAGTCAGCCTCACACCATCTCCCCTCGACCAATTCAACTCTCAAAACAATTATAACTAATTATTACCCTAAAACAAACGGTAACTTCTGTGTAATCTTTGGCTGTCAGTAACTGAATAGTGAGGTTATGTGCATTGCTGTGTGAGTCAGTCTGTTGTGATTGCTGCAGTCGTACAAAATCTCTGGTCGTACCCCCTTCGTCAATTACCGTAATAAATGAGTAATAACAAAACGGGAACCCCCGAGAAAAACGACTCAAAGATGACGAATTCCCCTGGAGCGAGGAATAATCCCCCCGACGACAAAATAAACCGAAACCCATCGGAAGTGAATAATTCCCCGGCCCTAACCAAAAACGCTGAGGAGGAGATACTGGACACGGTAGCGAATTCCTCAGCAATATTTAAAAGTCAGCAGAAAGACGATCCCGAGCTGTCGTTCCTCGAGAAACGAAAAATAGCGGAGGATCTGCTGAAAAAAAATCACCACCAGTTTCTCTCGCGCTTCGGCAAGAGCCTGAAGCCCCATTTGCTGGATTACTTCACCGAGAAATCCGGTGATTACGAGACTAGTTATCACGTTGGTAAATTGAGAAGATTTTTGAATGCCGAGACGAGGAGAATTGACAGGAAGAACCGGAGGTACGAGGCTTGGAAGGAGATGGTGCAGAAGGGGGAGTATTTCAGTGAAACGGCGATGATGAAGCGAAATCCACTGCTGTACGATCACCTGATCGGGAGATTTCTCACTGAGGAGGAGAGGAAGGCTCGTGACAACGTGGACACGACGAATATCACGTTTGTTAATTTGCTGTTGGAGGGAATCGAGAGGGATGGGGTGAGGGACCTGAGGAGGGCCCAGGAGGAGGCTGAGGAGGAGGTGCTGGAGGAGAGTGATTCGGAGTCCGATGATGGGGGCGAGCGTCCTGGGGGTGGGAAGAAGGGGCAGAATTGGGGGGAGATTGAGAGGGAGGTGGGGGCTTACGAGGTGGAGACGAAGGGGAGGAGGAATTTTGGGAATTGTCGGGCTGAGGAGATTGAGAGGGAGGAGCAGCAGGTGCTCAGGCAGGAGTTCGTCAGCCACATGTACGAGAGCTTCCTCGAGGGGAGAGACACTGACTTTGATTATAGGTATTAAGGTTTATTGGGTTTTTTAATTGTTTTATTGCGTCCAAGTACTTTGGCTATTTTATCTCCAGTAAAACGCTTTTGTATTTTTGTAGTCGAACCTGTTTTATTTGAGCCCCATTTGACCCCAAGTTTAGGGGAATTTTACAGTGGTTTTATTATTTAAACAGAAATTGCAGGTCTGAATTTGAATCTCGACGTTGAAGCATTAGAAAACATTTTAAAGATCTGAAAAAAAATGAGAAAGTTTGCTTTTGGAGGGAGATAGAACACATCACCGCTATTTGAAATAATTAAAATAATAAAATAGTACATAATGGAAAAATATGTGAGGTTTTCAATTGAAATAATTAAAAAATTGCAATGATTCACAATGATTTTATTATTTAAACTTTGCAGGTCTGAATTTGAATCTCGATATTGAATTGTTAGAAAACATTTTAAAAATCTGAAAAACATTTGAAAGGTTACTTTGGGAGGAAGACAGAAAAAAATCGCCGCCATTTGAAATAATTAAAATAATAAAATAGTAAATAATTAAAAAATTGCAATTTTTGGAAATTATGAGCATTTTCTATAAATAATTTGTAAACAACTAATGTTTAAAAACAATAATTCTGTGGAAAATGTAATTTGAATTCATGATTTTTTTCAAATTTTTCGCACGTAATTTAACTGGCAAATTTGGTGATTGAAAACGGTTGAATCTGTAGTGTGGTTTGTACTAAACTAAAAGATATTTGGATATCCTTAAGTGGATTGAAAAAAATTTATTGTACTCTAAGATACAGAATTCCGTCAGGGCAGGCCCTAAAAAATCGATTTCTGTGGAAATTTCTATTAGTGTACTATTAGTACTAATTAGTTCCAAGTATTTTGTTTGCTTTTTTCCACTGAAAAAGAAGAAAAATAGAGTGGAAAAACTTAGGAAATTCATGTCGAGGAATTCCTGTAGAAAACGTCTCAATAGAAATATTCACTTGGCTATTCTCAAGCTTCTGAATTGAAAAATCTTTAATGATCACCTCAATAAATTTATTCTTCACAGTACTGTTGACGATAACGAGGCGTATGACAACGTGGAGTTGAGGGAACAGGACGAGGAGGAGAAGTATTTCGACGCAGAGTCACCGGAAGTCACGACAGACTCACCGGAGAAACGACTGGAGGAGAATGACGACTCCGAAGATGAGTTGGATAAATATATGAGGAGTCTAAAGGTCAATTAACATTAATAATATAGATTCGCTCGTACTTGAGAATTTGGACTGAAAGAGTTGTTATTTGATCTAGGAACAGGAGAGTGAAGAGACTACCTGAGAAAAATGTTTAAAAAATACTGTATAATTGATTGATCATTATCAAAATTGAATAAAATATTTTTGGTACCATATTCGTTTTTATTATTTTCCCTCTGCATATGTAAAATGATGGACATATTTCTGAATTTCCTTGTCTGATTTTCTTGATAAAAAGAAAAAAAGAACGAAAAAAACTTGGAAAATTTGAGCCTAGGAAATTCTAATTCTGAGTTGTATAGAAAAATCCAATTCTATTTCCTTTTTCTATAGAATATTTTCTATTGAACATTCAATAGAATCGGCCAAAAACTAATAGAAAGTTCAACAGAAATCCAATGGGATTGTCCAGCGAATTCGTTAGATTTTTCTATTAAATTTTTTCGTGCGTTTCTCTCAGCTGAAATTCCTCAATTACAGTGGAAGCTATTTATCCTCATTTCTGGATTAAATATATGACCCTTCTAGGCCCCTGGAAAAGCCCAGGAATCCATTCCGACGTTTTCACATTTTTCTCAACTTTTATTTCTCGTAGAGCCAAAAGGGCGTTAATCCCTGATCACTTCGTTCTGCCAGGTCAAATTAATAATTAGAATTCAGTGGTTTTCTCATCACTATATATTTTGATGTTTATGAGGTCGGAAGCGGACGAACAGAATTGATGAAAATCATCGAGACGTGACTATCAAGAATCCCAATGTGGCTCACATTTGCAATTACCAAACGAGATTATTGCTGCTCTGCGCACACAGCCTATCTCGCATAAATCTCTTATTCCAAAATGAAAAGAATATTCCTCCAATTATCACGCACGGATTCATCAATCGCCACTAGTTCAGTAGTTTATAATTTGCGGACTAAAAAATAAACAGCATTTTGAATTCAAGATTGAGTGAGTGAAGAGTAGGCACCATGCCGCAAGGGAAAAACACATCGCGGGAGTCGGGAAAGTGTCGGCAATTCGTCGCGACATTAATAAGTATTCATTATATTCTGTGCCAATTTATAGAAAAAAAAACAGAATCACATACGTCAAAATTTCATAGAAAAACCTTTCTATTGCGAATTCGTCAGAAAATTCTATTGAATTTTTCTATTATTTCTATATCTGAAGAACTCATGCTCTTCAGATATTTTCTATAAAATTTCCTCGGCTCAAATTTTTGATTTTCTTTCATTCTGTTTTTCTTTTCTTCTCATCAAGAAAATCAAACAGAGAAACTTGAACCGCGGAAATTCTACAGAATCTATCTCAGAAGAATAAATTGTATAGAAAAATCAAATTCTTTTGACATTTTTCATAGAATATTTTCTCCTGAACATTTGAATAGAATTGTCTGGCGAATTCGATAGGTTTTTCCATTAACATTTTTCGTGCGTGTATGTTATCAGTTATTCACATTTATTCAATTTTGGTGGCAAATTGAATTTGTTTACACTTCATTATTTTATTATTCACACTTATTTAATTTTGGTAAATAAATATAAATAATAAAATGTTTCCCCTATTTTATAACTCCAGTCAATTTATCATCCCTCACGTTTGGGGTGACACTGGGCTGGGTTTCCCCAGTGATTCCAGACCTCCAAGCTGGAAAAACCCCTGTGAGTTCCGCCCCAATGACAGACGAACAAATTTCCTGGTTGGCCGGAGTCGTCTGCTTCGGAGCCGCACTGATGTTGCCATTCTGCAACGGCATCACTGAACGTCTCGGCCGGAAGCGCACGGCCCACGTCATGATGATTCCTTTCTTCATTTCCTGGATCTTAACAGCTTTCGCGACGAATTACATCAGCCTCTTGATGGCCCGCATCTTCGTCGGCGTCGGAGGCTCGATGTGTCTCCTCCTAGTACCGATTTACGTGTCGGAGATCTCGGGGGACAGCATCAGAGGACAACTGGGAAGTATCCTGAGGTTCGCGTTCAATACTGGACTCGTTCTGGGGTACATCCTCGGTGCTGTCCTTTCGTATAAATTATTCGCGTTGTCTGCCCTCACGATGCCTGTTGTCTCCGCCGTTGGGCTTTTATTCATTCCGGAAACGCCGGTTTATCTTGTTAGGAAAGGGAGAATCGTTGAAGCTACCAGGTAATCTTCCACGCACGAAATAATTTATTAGAAAAACCTAGCGAATTCGTTAGAAAATTCTATTGAATTTCTGTTGAAGTGTTCGATTAGTTTTTGGCCGATTCTATTGAAACTTCAATAGAAAATATTCAGTAGGAAAAGTAAGAGAATTCAATTTTTCTGTATAACTTATTCTATTGATTGAGATATTTTCTATAGAATTTCCTCGGCTCGAATTTTCTAAGTTTTTTCGTTTGATTTTCTTGATGAGAAGAAAAGAAAAATAGAATGAAAAAAAATTGGAAAATTTGAGTCTAGCAAATTCTATAGAAAATATATGAAAGGAATAAGTTATATAGAAAAACCGAAGTCTGTTGACTTGTTTTATTGAATGTTTTCCATTGAACATGTCAATAGAATCAGCCACAAACGAATGGAAAGTTTAATAGAAATTCAATAGAATTTTCTAATGAATTCGAAGGGTTTTTCTATTAAATTTTTTCGTGCGTGTCTTCCACTGGAAAAAATAAATTGTCTTGCTAGATCTCTGATGTGGTTGAAGAACAACGACAGAGCCTCAGTAGAAATCCACCTAGAACAGCTTCAATTGCAAGCCCTGCAGCATTCGACGAAGAACAAATCTGTTGGGTTCAAAGATCTCTTCCGAGATCGAGCAACATTTCGGGGATTTGTAATCGCCCTGGGGCTGCTGAATGCACCCGCCACGTGTGGATTATTCGTTGTAGTAAGTACATATTGTTAAACGATAGAACTTCACTTACAGATAACAGTTTATCGAAAGAGAAATAATTTTAAAGTAAAAGAAATACAAAAAGTGATAGCACAAGTGCAGGAATAAAGACATGAGATAAAAGAATGACCGGAAAAAATGAAAATATGAAGATGGACAAGGTGTGGGAAGAGAGAACACTCAACAATATAATTAAAAATAACTCCGTATCGGAAAGTTGATTATATCGCGCACAAAAAAAATTTTATGAAAAAACTTGGAGAAATCGTATAAAAATTCTACTCAATTTCGCGTTTTCATAGAAAATATCGAATCGAAACTATTCTACCGACAAAATCACCAGAATTCTTTTTTTTATTCAACACTTCCTATAGGAATTCCTCAATATGAATTTATCAGGTTTTTCCACTCTATTTTTTATTTGTTGATAGCAAAAAAATAAAAAATATTTTTCAATAGCTTCGTTGCCTATTAAGAATGATTGTGTCAAATTTTGCAAACAAAATTTTAAGCTGCAAAATTTGACACAATCGTTCTTAATAGGCAACGAAGCTATCGGAAAATATCCGATAGTTTTGAAGCACTAGTGGTATTACTACTGAATATTTTTCTGGGTGAAAATTGACTTGACCGTTTTACCGCTTCGCCACAGAATAATTCGAATTTTTTTAGCTGACCTATACGGCCACAATTTTTCAACTCGCCGGGAGTTCCCTCTCCCCCAACGCCGCGACGATACTCATAGGAGTGATCCAAGTCTTCGGATCATGGTTGACAACCCTTGCGATGGACCGAGCTGGCCGTAGAACCCTAATCCTGGCGTCATCAGCGGGAATGATCATCTGCCACTGCATCCTCGGCTCCTTCTTCCTCCTCCAGAGCCTAGACTACAATCTGTCGTCATTCAGCTGGACTCCAATAATCGCATTGTCAATCTTCGTTATTGCTTACGGACTCGGTGTGGGTCCAGTGCCCTACGTCGTCGCCACCGAAATTTTCAGTTCCGATGTGTCCGCATTCGCCAATTGCATCTGCCAAACGGTCATGTGGCTCGTTGCCTTTCCCTTCATGAAATTTTTTCCCCTGGTCATTGACACTCTAGGAATTTACAGTGGGTTCTTCATTTTCGGGGCATTCTGCAGCTGCACTTTCGTCTTCACTCACTTCCTCGTGCCTGAGACCAGGGGAAAGAGTATTCAAACGATTTTAGAGGGGCTGGAGGCACATTGGAGAAGCTAAAGGATTTTTTTTACGTGGATACGTCTATGGTTTCAATCTGGGGGGTCATTTCGGGAAACGGTCCTTATGTGCAGCACCATATATCGGAAGTCTAGAAAATTCTAGACACTTCGAGGTAATTCAGGAAGTCCACTTTTGAAAATTCCAGTGTAACGATTTTTTAAGCCTCTATTCCGCTTATCAAATAATGTAATATAATGTCTATGTATTTTTTTTATGTACTGTAATCTTTTATTTACAGTAATTGTAAAAAATGAGAAATTCATTTCTCACTGTAATAAAAAAATATATAGTTCTGTAGAAAAATACAGAACCATATTGTACACAATATGTAAATTTGAGCCGAGGAAATTCTATAGAAAAAATCTCGATAGAATCGGCCAAAAACTGAAATAGAAATTCAATAGAAATTCAATAGAATTTTCTAACCAATTCGATAGGTTTTTCTATTGAATTTTTTCGTCCGTGGTACTATTTATCTTCCTGTTTAATAATTCGATCTATTAAGGAATTCCATTTTTTTTGCACCAATTGAAAATAATGTAATTTTGCGATGCGTTTTTCAATAAATATATGGAAAAAAAAATATAGTTGTTGATTTTTTTTCTACACTTGCACTGATGTCTTCACTTACTCTCCTGTGTTAAGACCAGAGAGAAGCTGACGAAATAATTCTTCCGTATTTTTATCGCTATTATACTATTTATCTTTCTGGTAATGTGTAATTTTCTTTGAGACTGTCTCGAAATAGAAGGTTGCTTCTTGTCACTGACACGCGGCGCCTATTATTTACCCTCAAATACACATCTCGTGTATTCACAATTCCCCGACGACTGTCAATTGCATGAATTCGATCTGTTCAGCATTCCATTAGTTTTTTTTCTCCAATTGGATTGGAAATCATGTAATTTTCATCGCAATTGTATTATTTATAATTGTCCTCATCTCCGTGATGTTCATTAATAATAAGAGGGTCATGAAATTTCGTGAATTATTAAGTAATGATAAGACGCAAAAACTGTATATTTTTTCACGTCAATCCGATCAAAATCAGAATTTGCCAGAAAAATAAAAAAAAATGTGAATTTTGGCCGAAGGGGTGTACATCCTTAATACCCGAAATACCCGTCGCAGCCGCTGAAAAAAATATCCACTCTTTTCTCTCTTATCGCCGTTATTTATTTCCATAGTGCTGTGTGTAATTATTTATTCTCATATGAACATCTTCCCGTAGATTTACAATATGGCACACAGTTTTGTACGTCTAACTGGGGTATTAAATTAGACTTTTTCGATAATGATAAGCAGAACAAATATTTTCCGTCATTTCAAATATGTATTCAACAATACGTCACAGATAGTTGGCATGAAATTGTAAAAAATTTCTTCTCACAAGACACCGTGATTGGAAGCACAAGTACACAATGATACTAGATCGAATATGATAAGGATTGTGATATCAAATCGCCAATCGGAACAACCATTTTGGTCTACTGTTTGCCGGTCTTGCCCGGTCCTGGGGATATTCTTATCAGAGTCGTAATTTTGATTGATGTAATAACACTTCATTGATAGTTGATGGAATTTTGTTGGGGACATGCACGCCAGCTAGATATTCCCATAATTTTCATTCGATAAACTATTATCAGCGGGTGAAGATATGTCGAAGACTGTTAGCATACCTGAGGAGACGGGAAAATGGCGTCAATTCATAGCGACTATATTAGGTGAGTTATAGTTACTGAAAATTTAGTTGATTGAGTGAAGAAATTGATTGAGGTATTTCATTCGAGATTATGGTGATTTTTGAGAGTCTTCGGCCGGTCGAATATAAATTTTTAATGAAACAAATCGAGTTTTCATTTTTTTATACGAATTATTCCATTCGAATATTGTTCACTGGAAATTTCTGTTGAAGAAAATCGACTTAGTTTGAATTGAGGGAAACTCTTTATTCGAAATTTTTCTGTTCGTTTCAAAAGTTTTTTAGAATTAATGAACTCATGTGTTGATCTAAACGGAAATGTTTAAGCTTTATTGGGATCAAATAAAGGATCACTAAATGTTGGTAAATTCGATTCGTTAAAAAATTTCATTTTTTTGCCCCAATTCTAGTGGAAATCATGCTATTGTCCCATGCGTTTTTCGATAAATATATTTTTCAAGAAAAAACCTATTGATGGTGATTTTTCCAGATTTTTTGAATACTGCAGAAAGAATTAGAAAATTCATGCCCAAGGATTTCTGCCGAAGAATAAATAAAAATTTATTGACATTTAATTTTTTTTATACGTGTCAATAACGAAACACTTGTTAATATCAACGAAAAAACAAATTAATGCAAATAAAAATGCAAATGAAAATCACACTCAACTGAATAAATCCCCTAATTTAATTCTATCAAATTTTATTGCATTAAAATAAATATTTTTTTAGGGAATTAATGAACTCATCTACTGACCCCAATGAAAATATTGAGTCTCGATTGGGACCAAATAAAGGATTACCTGTTGATAAATTCGATCCATTATAAAATTTCATCAATAAATATCTTTTTCAAGAAAAAAACCTATCGATGTTGATTTTTCCAAGTTTTTCAAATGCGGCAGAAAAAATTAAAAAATTCATGTCCAAGGATGTCTGCAGAAAAATAAAAAGTTATTGACAATTAATTTTTTTATACGTGTCAACGAAATATTTGTTTATATCCACGAAAAAACAATTCAAACTCAACTGAATAAATCCCCTAATTGAATTCAAATAAAGCTTACTCAATTCAACAAAACAATTCTCTTGGTTTCACGTATAAAAAACGATATTTTCCAAAAATGATAGTGAACCTAGCGGTATTGGGGAGTGGAGTGAGTGTGGGGTGGAACTCCCCAATCCTCCCTCACCTCCAAAGTCCGGAGACCCCAGTGGGCGCAAAACCAATGACAGATGACGAAGCATCATGGCTTACCTCTGCACTGCCCCTGGGCGCCTTGACAATCCTCCCCTTCTGCAGTGGAATAGCCGAGCGCTTCGGACGGAAGAATACAGGATTCTTCATAGCTGCGCCCCTCGTCGCCTGCTGGCTCCTGACAATCTTCGCGAGCAGTTACGCTTATCTCCTGGTGGCGCGATTCCTCGCTGGATCTGCGTGCGCCGTGTCCTTCTTCCTTGTTCCCATCTACGTGTCCGAGATCGCGGACACCAGTGTCAGAGGACTATTCGGAAGTTTGCTACTATTTTCCTTCAGGATTGGAATTGTTGGGGGGTACATCCTCGGAACTGTCTTCTCTTATCACATGTTCGCGGTTTTTGGTCTCGCTATTCCTGTTGTGTTCCTGGCGAGTTTTGTGTTCATGCCGGAAACGCCGATTCATCTTGTGAGGAAGGGGAAACTGACAGAGGCGAAGAGGTAGGGGAGGGTGGGGCAATATGGGGACTTGACTTCATCAAGAAAAAACTGAACGTAAATGATGTTTTGACACGTATCAAAAAATTGAATAGAAAACCTAACGAAGTCGCTAGAAAATTTGAGGGGAATTCTATAGGAATTCTATGGGGTTTCTATAGGATTTCTATTGGAATTCTATTGAAAAATTCTATTTGCTTTTTGCGCTGATTGTATTGGATATTCGATGAGAAAAAGTCAATCGATTTCAAATTTCTGGTGAAAATTTTTCTCTTGAGATTTTTTTTTATTAGAATTCCATTATTTTGCATTATTTTTTTGAAGTTTTTAATTTTTTTTTCAAGTTTATCGAAGTTCAAGTTGATCAAATTTTTTTTCTTCAATTTTTTTAGTTTGCAAGTAGTTTTGATGAGCTTTTTTTGATAAAGTTTTCTAAACATGGAGCCGTTCTGCCAAAGACATAATTTTTTATATAATTCTGAAAATTTAAATTTCATTGAACGGACGAAAAATTTGAGTAGAAAAACCTATTGAATTCATTAGAAAATTCTATTGAATTTCTATTGAACTGTTCTATTAGTTTTTGGCCGATTCTATTAAATTGTTCAATAGAAAATATTCAGTAGAAAAAGTCAATAGAATTCAATTTTTCTGTATAACTTATTCTATTTAAATATTTTTTATAGAATTTCCTGGGCTCAAATTTTCTCGTTTGATTTTCTTGATGAGAAGAAAAAAAAATAGAATTAAAAAAAACTGGAAAATTTCGAGCAAAAAAATTAGAAAAGTCGAGCAAATTCTGTAGAAAATATATGAAAACAATAAGTTATATAGAAAAGTCGAATTCTGTTGACTTTTTCTATTGAATGTTTTCTATTGAACATGTCACTAGAATCAGCCAAAACTAATAGAAAGTTTAATAGAAATTCAATAGAATTTTCTAACGAATTCGATAGGTTTCTCTATTAAATTTCTTCGTGCGTGTGAATCTGGTTTTTTCATTTAAAATCGATTCTCGTTTCAAAATTCCATTATTCATTGATATTACAATTTCCTCTTCTCGCGGACAACAGAGCGTTGGAAAGTAATAAATCACTAAACAATGCTAACAAGTTCCACGCGATTGTTGAATATCAATAACCAATAGATTAATTACAAAAGAGCAGAAGAGCCCGAAATCGCACGCGTCAGACGTGCAAAATGAATTATTAATGACTGTAGCCTCCCATGATTTCGTTATCTGCCATGGACACGAGTAAAGATGATGCCTTGTCTGTAACCCACACTTATTAACAAGCAACCGTGAAAAATGAATATTCAATGTATCGCAGATCTCTGATGTGGTATAAAAATAACAATAAGCCGATAGTGGAAGATGAACTTCGACGTCTTCAATCGCTGAACAAAGAATCCCTGGACGACAGTGACTCCGTGGGTTTCCGAGACTTGTTCCGAGACCGGGGAACGACGAGAGCGTTCGTCATAGTTGTTGGCCTTATAACTGGACAAGAATTATCAGGAATATCGCCAATGGTGAATACAATTTCCCGGGATCAATTTACCATACATACCATTTTTTTCAAGCAATGATTTTATTCAATATGTTCACACGAACACTTGAATATAATATAAAAGATGTAGAATGAATAGATAAAAGATACAGAAGCGCCCTGTTAGAAATTCTCCACTGAAATTTCCGGTAAGTCTTGGAAATTTCGAAGACGTAACGTTTCCACTGAAATGTCGAGGAATTTTGTCAGTGAAAATTCATAATTTTATGGAGATATCGGTGGGGACTGTAAATTTCAGTTTAATTATTCCGGAGAAATTAATGAAAAGAAAGGAAAATTCTGAGAAACTTCTCCTGGAATTCCAAATTCCGCAGAATTTGAATATTTGAAGGAAGAACGTCAATATGTAGATTCTGATTTTTATATATAATGTATTAAGAAAGAAAACATGAAAAAACAGAATAAATCGCGTAGAAGAATCAACATTCATTCTCTTCTATCTTTTAGAAAAGTGAAACATCTTTTTGAAAATCGCAAAACTGTACAATTTTCTCACAACTACTAGACTCTCTACCAATAAAAAAAATCTATTGTTATTTTCACTCATGACAATGCAAAAAAGAAACCCCAATTACAGAAAAATAGGACGGAAAGGGGTAATATTTTATGTGTACTTCCGAATCGACAAAAATTGAAAGGAAAAAAAAAAGAAATAACGCGGTCGCATATTTCCACTTTGGACGAATATTTAAAGCGAAAACGTCACTAGATTCTGACTTTTATACATGGCACATTCTCTTGAAGTTGTTTTCTTCTTCCACATAAAAAAATTCAAGACAAAAAACCATGAGAAAAACAGACATCCCCTTTCTTCTAGCTTTTAAAAAATTGAGTCATCTCTTTAAAAATCGCGAAATCATACAACTTTTTAGCAACTGCACTGTCAATTCTCTCTCTCTACCAATTAAAAAAATACCGATCGCCATTTGCACTTACGACAACGTAAAAACGAAACTCCAATTATACTAACAATTAAATATATTAATATTATTATTTTATTATTTTTTGCTCTGGCAATTGGCAGAGCACCTGTCCGGCAAACAGAAGATGTGGGATCATACCCCACTTGTGTTCGAGCCCGTGTGCCTCCGAATTTTTTAATTTGTGCATTGATAATTATTCAATTATTTCCCTCACATAGAGGTCCGGAAAGTCGATGGATAGCATGTAGCATCCCGCTTTCCAAGTAATTTATGCCTTAAAAAAATCTAAGGTTGACCGAGTAGAATAGCCCAGGGGATAATATAGTTGAGAATTGTAATAACATTTAAAAAAATAATTTCAGCTGTCCTACACCGCAAGCGTCTTCAAATCCGCCAACATTCCAATGTCGCCGAACCACGCGGCGATAGTAGTCGGTAGTGTCCAGCTGCTTGGCTCCTGGTTATCTACAATGACGATGGAGCGACTCGGCCGGCGAAAGCTCCTGTTCATATCCTGCATCGCGATGTCGCTCTGCCACACAGCATTCGGGCTTTTCTCGCTGGTGAAGACTTACGGGTACGACGTGTCCTCGGTATCGTGGATTCCAGTGGTGGCCCTGGCGACTTACGGGGTCGTCTACTGCCTGGGTATGGGGCCAGTCCCCTTCGTCATCATGTCCGAGGTCTTCAGTGCGGACATCGTGAGCTTCGCGAGTTCAGTGGTGATGGGCCTCGGCTGGTCAGGCTCATTCATGATGACGAAGTTCTTTCCACTGATCATCAACACCGTTGGCTTCCACGGATGCTTTTTGTTGCTGGCAGGCATGTGCATTTGCATATTGGGATTCACTTATTTTCTCGTCCCTGAGACCAAGGGGAGGAGCATCGAGTCGATTCTCAAAGAACTGAATGACGGCAAGAGGAGGAAGAAGAAGGATCCATTTCCCGAAGCTGCTGTAGAGATGATAACTAAGAGTATAAATACGACTGAGTAAATTAGTGTATGGAGTATTTTATATACATTTTATATGCGTGTAATCGAGTGGTGAATAAATTATTTTAGTTGATGAGTGGAACAAGAGTTTGGGGATTTTTAATTCAATTGAAAGTGATTTTCAAAACTCAAGCTTTCACTGAGATGTCAATAATCGCTCGACATGAAAAATTCATTTCTATGCCAAATTAATAAGTCAATTATTACATTATATTAATCCGATAAAATTTTTCATCTCCGATTTTTATTCTTCGCTATTTTTTTAAATGTATTCTATCAACATGTGAGGGTAGAAATTGAATTGATGGGTATTCTTTCATTATTTAAAAAAATATATCAATTTTAAAACTTTCCGGAGACATTGAAAAATCGAAATTTTTAGTTTCTTACTGATCGCGTATCTCTGTTCTTTTTATCACATTCTTCCATTGAAATTAGATCATAGAGAGGGAACATATTGATATTTTTTCGTCATTTAAAAAGAAAATCAGTTTTTAAATTTTTCAGAAGAATAAAAAATCGTTTTCTTTTATTTTCTTGCTGATCATCTCTCCCTGAATTTTTCTCATTTCCTCTTAATAAAATCAGATCATGAAAACGAAAAATTTCATTTACATGATTTGATTTCATTAAGAGGAATTACTATATTATACTGATATTATTTAACATAAATATCTCTTCATTTGAAAATGAGAAAAACTGCTCCCCCAATTTGTATACTACAATGGGAATAGAATCCAATAAATTTAATTTTATCTGACCGCCAAGAAAAATTGGAAAGAAAACAATAAAATAAATGAATATAATATAATATAATCTAGCGACGGGCACGAAGCGCCCGTTCGCTATTAATTAATGAATAAATTAATTTATAAGGAGAACTATCGTTTGAGAAGGTATTCTTCACTGGAGTATAATATAACCAAGTACCACGTAATCAAAAAATTGCGACCTTTAGAAATCATTAAAAAAATTAGCTTTAGGAAGAAGAACCTCCCAAAGCTAGTGTAAACTCTAGAGATAATATCCCAAAGCTAATGTTTAACTGTCGAGACAATGGCCTAGAGAGCGAATACGACTGCACGAGAGAATATATCGGCTCATCCGGTTCCATAACTATTTAACACAAAAATTATCCACACGTGTAAAACTATTTTATACAGCCGTCAGCAATCGGACAACAATTGGACTGATTTTTCAAACAATGAGAAGACAACAGGACTGATTGCTACTGCTGTGGAGTTTTTCAATAGAATCGGCCAAAAAGTAATGGAAAGTTCAATGAAAATCCTTTAAAATTGATAAGCGAAATCGGTATACGCTTAATTTAATACGACGATAATTTTCATTGTCTCGTGTACTTGACGATTTATTAATACATTTGATGACAGCAAGTGTCCGATGATTTCTATCTTAACGACCTTTCCCCCTAAATTTTGATGCGCCTGTAAATCAGTGATGTTTTGTCAGTAATCGCGGTATTATATCGGACCCCCTGTTAATACCCCAGGAAAATATTTGAAATTAAATAAACACGAAATAATCTGTCGTCTCAGACTAAGCCATTTTTTTCCATTAGCTAATCACCGCTCATTCAATATCCTGCAGTATTTTTTTCCATGAATTGAGTTTGTTTTTCGTTCAATTATAGTACTAATACGTGGAACATGTGTGAGAGCCTGAAGATTGGTTTCAGATGTTGAGTGACAAACTTGTATAATGTATCCCCAGTAGTCACTTATCACAAAAGCGGTACAGACTTGAGCCGGTCTATAAATCTAACCGAAGCTTCAATCGCTACTGAGGAGTGAACATGCGAAATACAACATGACGAGCATGTTTCAGTGAAAATCATTAGGCAGTATTTGCAGAATATATTCTAAGTATTCTTCCGGTAGTTCTTGACTCCGTAAGTTCGTGACCGTTATTTCTTCTGACAATTTTATAAGTTGGTGCTAAATATGAAAAAAACGGGCTGTCAACATGAACCTGGGAAGCTTTACCAGTTGATTGCAGCAGTGATAGGTAAGCGCACTGAGAGTATTTTATAATAACTTTTTCCATTCATTTAAACAATTAGCGAACGGACGCTTTGCGCCCGTTGCTAGATTAGTTTATACTATACTATTTTACATGGAGAAAAATTTTCTAGAAAAATTCTAGTACGAGTACTGGAAAAAATTACAATCCACCGGCTGTGAAAAATTCTAGTGCTGTTAAGGTAAAATTTCTTGGTATTTCTGGTTAAATTTGTAGGGATTTCTGTGAAATTTTCACAGAAATACGGGGAAAAATTCACGTTTTCCCCATAAAATTTCTAGTAATTTTTTCCTGGCTGTCACTTTGCGTCTCTTTTCGCGTGCTAGCAATGGAATTTTTCTAAAAAATTTCTCCGTGCATTTCATTTTCTTCGCCTTTTCCGTCTTCAGGATTAGATTAAGTTACTTCGATTCATTGTTATTCTTGATATATATATTTTTGGCAACAGTAAAACTTCCATCGAATATCTTTTCGAACAATGAAAGAATACTCATCAATTCGATTTCTATCCTGGTCTTTTGATAGAATGATGAATGTAATGAATGGCGTTAATAGCAAAAATCACGAATTGGAGACTCAAAATTTTTAAAAGGAGATAATCGGCTAGAAAATGGAAAAATTAGTTTTTCTTCATTTGTGTCAGTGCAAACTTGAAATTACTGTTTTTTCTTCAAATATGGAAAGGATATGAATATTTTCCAGTTTTATGAAAATATAAAAATTAGGAAGTATTCATTTAATGAGAATGCAAACATGAAATAAAATCAACTTAGAGTTTCAATAAAAGCTCCATTACGAGTCAATCGAATCAGCTTATTTATTCGATTCTAATGAAGTTTATTCAGTCCAAACAACGCATTCTTCCGGCTGCAGAAGTGATTCTTAATACGAATTCTCTGTTATCAAATTAAAAATGCATAAATAACTTCATAAATGGATTTTTCATGAGAAAGACTTCACCGAAAATTCTTCCGTAAAAGCATGATTCCCGTAAAATTGCTTCCACGGCGTTTACTGCAAAAATTACTGGTTCCGAATAAAATATTAAATTTTCTCTCGACGAATTCGTCGCTGCACGTGATTTTGGGGAAATTTCTCTCTATATAATCAATTTGTAAATTAACACAACGCAAAAATTTGCAGGGTTCACGGGAGCCAAAATAACTGTCTGGAGGGTCATACGGGGATTATATGAGGGTCATAAGGGGTCATCTTCTCCGATGCACGCATCGCGCGCGCATGATTGGCTAGTGATTTCAGCATATTATTTCTCATCATTATGAATGCACTTATTCATCACAAAGGAGTTAATGCCCGCTTTTAATATGCTCAGATTTGCGAAGAAATGGGGGAGGGGGGAAGCGAAGCGCCCTAGTACACGTATGGAAAAATTTAATAGGAAAACCTAGCAAATTCGCTAGACAATTCCATTGTATTTCTATTGAAGTTTCTATTAGTTTTTGGTCGATTCTATTGAAAGACTTTCTATAGAATTTCCTCGGCTTGAATTTTCCAAGTTTCTCTTGTTTGATTTGCTTGATAAGAAGAAAACAAAACTTGGAAAATTTCAGCCGAAGAAATTCTATAAAAAATATCTGAAGAGAATAAGTTATATAAACAAATCGCACTCTATTAAGATATTCGAGTGAACGTTTCAATGGGATCGGCAAAAAACCAATAGAAAGTCAATAGAATTTTCTAACGAATTCACTAGGTTTTTCTATTAAATTATTTCGTGCGAGTATTGTAATGAAATCAGTTTGCAATGAATATCTCTGGGTCTAAGGAAGATAGAAAAATTTTATTACAAAGTTTTTTGTAGAGCCGATTGAGAGCTACAACAAATGTAGTTACGAAAATTTCGCTATCTCCCTTAAATTCCGAAATATCACTCAAAAACTCAACTGGGAGATAAGTCGACTCAAACTGTTTTACCACTTCGCTACTGAGATAATGTCCAAGTTGTCCCCTCAAGAGCAATTAGCAAAGTTGTCTTTGTGAAGTTGGTGTATCACCGTAAAAAGAGAATGCCAATCCATTGATTTGCGAAAATTTCAGTGAACGTCATATCCCTTTCGAGTGGAATTGCCCTCGGCTGGGCATCACCGGTGCTGCCGCAGCTCCAAAGTCCCGAGACTCCGATCGGCTCAGCTCCAATGTCGACTGAACACATCTCGTGGCTGAACGGAGTGCTACCCCTGGGGGCTCTGACAATTCTCCCCTTCTGCAGTACACTCACAGAAAGATTCGGCAGAAAGCTGGCGATCCTCCTGGGAGCGATTCCTGCGATTATTTGTTGGCTGCTCAAGGCCTGCGCGACTAGTTACATCTATCTCCTATTGGCTCGATATGCCGCCGGAATGTCGATGGCCATGCTCATGCTGATGGTACCGTTGTACATCGCGGAGATATCCGCGGACAGTATCAGAGGGCAACTAGGCTGCATTCTCGTCTTTGCTGTTAAAATTGGTATTGTTATAGGGTACAGCCTCGGTGCAGCGCTGTCCTACCAGCTTTTCGCAATTTGCGGACTGATGGTGCCCATTGTTTTCATCGGGATGTTCGTATTCATGCCGGAAACACCGACTTATCTTGTCAGGAAAGGGCTCATCGATCGAGCGACGAGGTGAGAGAAAAAATCACACTCAGTAAAAATAACGGAACAATTCACGTACTCCGCAATGGGGAATCGTGCTCCGGCAATTTTTATAGGAATAGAAGAGAAGAAATCTGAAACGTTCACTGAATTTTCCGGTTCATCCCCGAACAAAGTACGAAATTGTCACGTAATTTTTCCCAAAGAAGTAAAATCTTACAGAAACTTGCCGATTTATTATGTCTCCAAAATCAAAAATTCTTGATCGTTCAATAATTTATTTCTACGTTCTGTTCCGTAAAATTTCTCAATCGTTGGGGAAAAATTACGGAACTACTTGTCCCCACAGCGATGAGTTATCAGACGGGTGGTTAATTTTTACAAACGGAACAAATCGTGTGAGTCGGAACAATTTCAGTTCCGACTCACATTTTTTATTGAATTTTAGTTCGTTAGTTTTGTTCTGGTAATTTTTATCGAATTTTCCTCTCCGCGTGACATTCGAAATGTTCGGAGACAAAAATCTGTGGAAAATCATTTCAATAACCCTCAATCACTCGCTCAATGATCACGGCGCCGCCCGTTTTCGTTTTTTAAAAATATTTAGCGTTTCTCGACGCTTAAAAATTCCAAAAAATTCGGGTTTCTAGTTCAATCCTTTTATTAAGCGTTGGCGTTGTCCGTTTTCATCTCGGGGGATTTGTTCAGCTAAAAAACGCAAAAAAACGTCGAATGGACAGAAAAGCGGCGCCGCGCCGCCCGGTGCGAGTGAGTCTGTCGACCGCACGAGCACCAGTGTTGCCACATTCACTGCCACACTTGAAATGCTCGCATAGTGGTAAGCGCCAAAGTGGCAACAGTGCGCTCGGTTTAAACCAGCGGCGCCGCTAACCGTGCGGCGGATGAAGGCTGGCGGCCGAGCGCGAGTGATCGAGCGACAATCGCATTGCTCTTTTGAAAATTTTAGTTTAAATATCGTGAAGTCTTAAATTTACGCGGACATCATTTATGACATAACGTACTCGAGGTAGATGAAACGCAATAGAAAAATAAGTAGACAGGAATATATTAGAAAACGAGGCACAATCTTCCATAGACATCTATCAACTATGTAAAACTCGTTTTTATGAATATCCGTTTTATGCCAATTGGATGGGGCATTAAATAGGAAAAATTAGAATTGTTTTCATGTTCTTATGTATTATGCTGGCGCTATGAACATTCTAAAGAACTATAAATGATTATAACTATGATTTATAAATCATGTAATTGTATTTGACCGTAGTTGAAGGAGTGATTCGAACCTGTAATTGTAAATGAATAAATAGATAGACAAATCGTAAAACTGATGCGCAATGCTCTTTCGGGAATTTTCACTTAAAAAGTCGAAAAAATGTGAAGTGAAAAATAAATTTTCTCTCTTGAGTTATGGAAATGTTGTGGATCGAAACGTAATTTTTACGTGATTTTCGTGGCACTTCTTCCGTAAATTTGTCTCTGCGTGGAAAAATGCGATTGCGCTGACTAAAAATATATGATTGAAAAAATTGAAGATCTTATGTAATTTACCTCCAGATCATTGATGTGGCTGAGGAATAACGACACGTCAACGGTAGAGCGTGAACTTCTACACCTCCAGGCACTAGTGAAGGAGTGTCCGAGTAGTAAAAAGTCTGTGGGATTCAGGGACTTGTTCAGGGATCGAGGAACGACAAGAGGATTTATCATATCCTTGGGGCTCTTGTGTGGCCAGCAAACCTGCGGTATCTTCGTAGTGGTAAATATTCCTCTAGTTGAATAAATCTTGATCATCACGAATTTCTTTGGGATTTCGTGAATTTGAAAAGATTTTTTCAATAAATCACTGTGACGTCATAAGCCAGAAAAATTAAAATTCTTTCATTACATACAAAATCAGTCAACTGCATTGTAGAATTTTTCAACTAGATACTAGACTGCCGATTGAGCACAACCTCAACCAGAATGTTTCCAATAATATCAACTACCGTTTAGAATTTATTTCAGATTTTAATCCTCAAAATTTGAGTTATATTTATACTACTTCAATAATTGCAAGTAATAACACGCATGAAAAAATTCAATAGAAAACCTAGCGAATTCGCTAGAAAATTCTATTGGAATTCTATGGGGTTTCTATAGAATTTCTATTAGAATTCTATTGGATATTAAATGAGAAAAAGTCAATACATTTCGAATTTCTGTTTGAATTTTTCCCTCAGATTTTTTCCATTAGAATTATTGGACACTAATTTTCTAAGTTTTTTCCGCTCGATTTTGTTTTGTTTTGTATTGCAGAATCCGAGTGGAAAAAACTTATAAAATTGATGCCCAAGCATTCTTATATAAAAAATCTCAAGAGAACAATTCAAACAGAAATTCGAAATCTATTAACTTTTCCTTATCGAATATCCAATAGAATCAGCGCAAAAAATAAATAAAATTTGTCAATAGACTTCACTAGAATTTTCTAGCGAATTCGCATAGATTTTCTATTCTCCAATCTTTCATACGTGAGCCCAATTCCTCCCCCAAGCATTCGACCAACGCAGCCAATTTCCGTAATCCCCGCTTAAATTTCCAGTCTCAATACGCCGCATATATCCTGCAACAAGCGGAGAGTTCCCTGAAGCCGAATACGGCAGCAATAATCATCGGAATTGGACAGATCGTGGGATCATGCCTGTCAACAATGACGATGGAACGAGCTGGAAGAAGATCACTGATCTTCATCTCCTGCGCCGGAATGGCCACCTGTTACTGCACAATTTCCGGTTTCCTATTCTTCAAAGAATACGACTTCAGCGTCTCCTCCTTCGGCTGGATCCCCGTGGTGGCACTGTCCTGCTGGGCAATTCTGTACTGCGTCGGCATGAGTCCAGCCCCCTTGGTCGTGGCCTCTGAAGTATTCAGCCCCGACATATCGAGTTTCGCCAATTCCGTTTCGATGGTATTCATGTGGATCTGCGGATTTTTGATCATGAAGTACTTCCCAATTATGAAAGAATTAGTTGGCTTGCACGTGTGCTTCATATTATTGGCATCATTTTGCATGGCCACATTTGCATTCACTTACTTCCTCATTCCTGAGACCAAGGGGAGGAATATTGAATCAATTATCGATGAATTGAATGACTGTTCCCGGGGATCCAAGCAGAATGGACGACACGAGGCAGCGGAGATGATAACGATTGATAAAAAAATCACCGTTTGAATACTATTAAGGTTTAGATAATTGATAATCCGTGACGTGTAAATAATCGTGCTTATTAATTTTTTACTTTTGCAGAAGAATCCGACAGAGGGATTCATGAGTATTAACGCAATTGCAATGTTTTTAAAAATTTAATTCAAAAGAAAAAATCATAATAAAGGCCATTCTTTTTTTAAAATTTGACTTTGGTTATGTATGACAATTCTGACTGATTTGAATTTGTGCTATGGTAATAATGAGACTTATCGGCAGGGATGGCCATCAATCTTCCGATTTTTCAATATTAAAAGAATTTCCGACTGACATTCATTAAGGTTTAAATATACTAATCGAAATTAAAAAATGCTAAAATAATTGATAATATAAATTTCCGATTGTTGGTGAATTAAATATTTCATAATATGGATCTGTAAATTTTCTATAAAGTAAATAACACTAAATTTTTTATAAGGGATTTCCGATTATCCAAATAATCGTTAATCATCCGAACTAAATTACTGACTAGTGAATAATTCGGAATTTGAATATTTAAATTGATGATTACTTCAGTAATTAAAATTTGAGAGTGATGTTACCCAATTGACTACTTAATAATTTACCGGTAATTATAAATTATGAATATGGCTATCCCTGCTTATTGGATTTTGGATTTTCGTAATTTGCAATTTGCTTTTAAGATTCAATAAATTGCTCTGATGAAGGACTCCTCGTGAGTTCGAAACGTCGAAATCTTTATTATTATTCTTTCTTTTGAATTAATTTATTAAAACCGCTGCGATGATCGTTATGACTGGGAGATGTTGATGAGAAGGAAGTATTTTACACGGTTGAATAATAATTAAGATTTTTGATTGAGGCAATGGCAGGATCTGTACCGACTGATGATCGCGCAGAAATGGGCGCAGTTGTATCGTATTAGAAAATTGTTTGTCTTGCCTTGCGGTCGTTAATGACGAGAGTTGACGAGTTGCCTCTCTCTCCGGATAAAACTCCGAAAGAATACACTTTTATTTCCACAATCTCACATACCATGTAAATAAAACCGATTGATTCATAAAAAACTCAATCATCCTCCAGTCTTTTCCTCACATTCCGATTCCCAAATTTTCTCTTTTTGAAACTGACACCAGGGCTCTCATCGTCACTATCACCAGTTCTCACTTGAGTCACTGTTTTTTCCTTGAAAGTTCTCTGAGGTACAAAGGGCTCGGACTCCTGAGGCTTCGGCACCTGCGCCTCCCTCTTGTGCGGCAACTGCAGATCGACAACTTTTTTCGGACTGGAACCCAAAAGAATTCATTACTAATGAACCTCGCCCTCAAATAAACTACTTTCATACTTCGTTAAAGCTAATACGAGACAAGTGTGTGGTAATTCCACTCTATCTGCCCGATATTTTAAATCTCACAAACGAGATAAATATTATTGAGTGTTACATCAACACAAATACCAAAGGTAGTTTACAAATTTTTTTAAATAAATTTTTTTCGTCACTTAATTAACAAATGGGGAATTTCAGTTAAATTGAGAGTTAAGATAGGACTCACTTGAGGAATCATAACATGTCCACGTGGACTATTTGTAATATTCGCGAATATCTGAACCAGTACAAGTCATTTAAATATTTATTTCGGTATTGAACTCTCTATTTTTCATGGATATTAAATGAAAAAATGAATATATTTGAAGCGTGTGAATTATTCTTAGCAATTTTTCTTCTTGTTGTATCATATTTTCTTTTTACATTGCTAAACAACCTTGACTTCAGTTTCAAAATTATTTTCAAAATCTATGTTTGATGGTAATTTGAATATTGTTATACCACGTTATTTAAGTTTGTATTATTTCCCATTTGCCCGATAATTTCCATTGACTTGGTTTCTCTTCCACAATTGATGCCCTTTAAACAGTTTCTCTACCCTGAATCTAAAGTACTGAAAAAAAATTTACAGTAACCAATTTTAAACATACATGACTTCAACAGTCTGCCAGGGTCCATAGGGATCGACCTTATCAGGAACACTGTAGTCCCTCCTGTAAGGGATCTCCTCTCCACTCGCCCTCACCCCATCTTTATCCTCACTACCCTCATTCTCCCTCGTTTGTTTCCTCAGCTCTTTCAACCGCTCTCGTTCTGCATTAGCCCTCTGCTCCTCGATAATATCGACTCTAGCCTTAGCCTCTTCGTCCTCGAGCTGCTGCAACAGCTCCTCCTGCAGTGCCTGCTCCTTCGCCTCCTCCTCCTGCTCAGCAATCGTCATAAACCCCTCCTCAGGTGCCTCCCACGTGGTCTCTGAATCGCCAAACCCCATTATCCCCTTCATTCCATGGAAAACAAAGTTTAAGATGGCCTTTCAAATCGATTAAAACTCACCATTGGTCTCCGTGTGCCAGTAGTAAGTGTATCCTTCGGGACTGTGCGCCTCGTACCAAAGTTTTCGAACAAGATGCTTGGCGAATTTCTCCCCCGCTGGATCCCTCTTACCTCGCCGCTTTTCCCTGCTGGGCTTTGCCTTCCCTGGAGTCTTGTTCTCACTTGGGTTGTCACTCGAAGGACTCGATATACTTACCTGCTGAACCCTAGACCGATGGAATGTCGTTGGGTCGCAGTAATCGATATCCGCTGGAAGCTGTGCACGATTCAATTAGTTGATTGAGTCAAACATCATTACCCAGGGTAATCGAGTTATCAAGAGTTCTTTTCCATTTGGAGAATTTGATGATGAACAAATTTTCAATGTATTTCTTACTCCTTGAGGCCTCTTGTGACGAGGATTCGTAGCCGCCGAGGCCTCCGGCATCTGATTAGGATTATCTGGCGTCTGAAAGTTGAGAGGAAGATACAACGATAATTTCACAGCTTCGGGGAATACTTTTGATTAGTTTTATATGATTGATGAGTTTGCTGATAGTTACGGTGGGGGCTTCAGTCCTCTCCCTCTTATCCCGGATAATCTGTTGTGCTGTCAGATCCGTCGTGTTACTCTCGACGTCCTTAAGGTAAGCTGCCATGGCGGCCTGAAAAATGATTCTTTATCGTGAAAAATTTCAACGATATGAAGGAAAAGTTTAACAGCTGACAGCGGCAACTGACAGGAGGGGAGTTTCAGTTGTTGGGAGCAATTCGATTTTTGGATACAATACTGAGAATACAAATTTTGCGCAACTTTCTGTCCTGAGATTTTTACGGAAATGATAGCAATGGAATTGAGTGAAGGGAAGAATTGAAATTTATTGATTGAATATTTTATGATTCAAATGCAAAATGGAAATCAGTTTCTGATTTTTATCGTGTTATTTTAATTGGACTCGAGACAGATTTCAGTTCTATTATTGAATTTTGATAAGACAGATTGAAAAAATATGAGAGAATGCAGATCAAAATTGAAAAAAAAATAATTCCAGTAAATTTTTTAAAGAATGGGAAAAGAATTTGCAATTTTTTATTGCTTAAAGTGCTCAATTCATTATCCAATTATTTACATTGACGTTAGTTTTATACAATGTCTGATGTGTTTGCTTGTGTTTTACACACGGAGAGAAATTCTTCAGAAAAATTCTAGAAAAAATCAGAATCGTGTTGAGGTAAAAATTTCTAGGGCTTTCTGGTAAAACTTCTGGGCATTTCAGCAAAAAAATTATTCAAGTACCAGAACAATTGACGCAGCAACACTGGAATTTTTTTTTAAAACTTCTATCCCTGCATTATTGATATTATTATATTGAAACCATTTGAATTTGGGATTTATCGTTGGCTACGATTTAAGTTATACTTTTATGCTACATTCTTTTAAGTAGTTACAAATTTCTTCAATATATTTGAAATCACGAGACTCTGTAAATTCTTCAGTGTTATACGGAGGGGAAGGATGTGCCCCATTGAAAAACAAATAAAGTAAACTTACACTCTCCATATTTTTGAGATCATTCTCAAATTTCCTCGTCTGCTTCGCTTGTTTCGCACTGTTCTTATGGATCTCCTTCAACCTCTTGGTGACATTTTCCTTGTGCTTTTTACCACCCTCATGAAACTGAATGCTCGGCTTGTTGTCTGCGATCCAGCATTTGCAGAAGTCGCAGAATTTTCTTCCCTGGGATTTCCAGTAATCAGCCCTGTAAAAAAAATAGTAAAACTGGTGAGTAAAAAATCGTTATCAGTTGCCACGTGTTCGCGGAAAGTAGTACACCCTCATCCTTTATGACCACTGCAGGTTCAGCTGGGAATTGACTCTCGTAAAAGACCGTGCAAACGTGATATCGAGTATTTATGGAAATTTTTATGAGACGTGTAGTGCACTCGGGGGAAAATTCGAATGCTAATTTCAGTTATTACATGAGTGACAATTGGACGAGTTTGGATTATAATTTAATGTTAATGTACGTCGTTACCTGAGTCCAAGGCCTGGCCTCCGTATCTGCATTCTGCCGGGACCATTCCAATGCCCTTTTACCTTTCACCGTAATTTTTTCTGGGTTTATGACTCAGGGGTAGACGCCCGAGTCGAGGATTTGGTTCTGATTGGACGTACACAGGTCTTTCAAGATCTCTCCAGACCTAGATGGACCTGGTAAGTCCGAATCAGTTCTGCGATTCGGACATTCATGTCATCTATACATGAGGTATTCATCTATACATGAGGGGCTAATTGATCGGATCTGGGTGAACGTTGATTCCAACTATTTAAGCGACGGGCTATTCAGAACTCTCAAAAGTATGTGGAAAAAGTGAAAACTGAGAAACCGTTTTTTTTTGCCCC